AGGACAGAAACATTAACAAGAAAGGGAAAAAGAAACAGGAAGTTCTGAAGGGAAAAGTGAAAAATCTAGTTGAAACATCTACATCAGCAGTGAAGATTTCATCCCAGCACAGGTGGGTGAATAGGAGATAATCAAATAGAAGTTGGCTTTGTAGCATTATTACAGTAAGTATGGATGTGATTCAGATAGTCTGATTAGCTATAATTCTGTGGTTTTGTTATTATTTATTATTATAACAATAATCTGACTTTAATCTGATAAGTCTGACTCGAGGGGATTGAATCAGGTGAGCCAGAATGTCAGAAAGTTTAACGAAGCAGATTCCTGTTTTTTATTTTCAGCTTTAGGCGCTACAGCATCTCTTTGTGGAGATGGCATGAATGATTTAGAGAAAACCAGAATTTGTATAACAGTAGAAAAATGACTTTATTAAATCTTTATTGGCCCGTTGAAAGTTGTTGGATTAAAAAAAATCTCTCTTCTTTCTAATCTTTTTCTCCAGGCAGTTCCTTGATGTGTCAGATGTGTAGTATGCAATTTAACTCTGTGGAGATGTACCAGGACCACATGCAGGGAAACAAACACCAGATAAAGTAAGTTTAAGAAGACAATGTCAACTTTCACTGTGTCACTGTTTTCTTAAAGTGTAATATTTACTACATTGCACTTCAGCTTACCTTTGGCAAGAAGTAATTATTTGTGATGACACTAAATAATATGAAAATAACACTGTTATAAATATACAAAGGAGTCGCAACCTGTAACAACCTGGCACAAATCAAGTGTTAGCTTAATTTAGATACCAAGTTGGTTTACAGGGAGTTTGTAATTGTAGAGAAATAATGAATTCATTTTGGGCATGTCATTTTCAAGCAGGAACCTCAGAATGCCTCTGTGGTTTACTAAGGCTATAATTTGTAGGTTTTTCATCACCATTTATCTGATTGAATAGCAGCCTAATTCAAGTTTATGTGTTCTTGCTCAGGGAGAAGAAGGTCATCGATCTATGCAAATCCCAGCAAAAACTGTACAGCACATTTGCAGATGAACTGGCTGATTACATTCAGGTTCAGAAGGCTCGTGGAATCACTCCTAAGACTAATCAGGTCCTCCCTCAGGATACCATGCAAAAGGAAGATGAAGCTGAAGAACGGGAAGTAATAAATAGGAAGAATATGGTGGAACTAAATAAACCTGTGTCCAACCTCCTTCCTACCTCCATTTCTCCTCATCAGTCCCACTCTGGTCATTACTCTCCACTTCAAATGGGGTGTTCATCGTTTCAGGGCCCGCCTTTGCCGTCATGTGCCTCAAACTGCAACTATCCTCCTCCAGTTCTTCGTAACTCAGGTCCTCCACCGCTCACTAGTTGGCCCATGAGAAGAAGGCAGAGAAGGTCAAGCTCTTCCTCCTGTACTACCTCATTATCTTACTCCTCCTCCTCCTCGTATTCCTCCTCCAGCAGTAGTGAAAGTGATAGTGATCATAGTGAATATAGGCACAGAGAAAAGAGGCAGATTAAAACATCCCATAGGGAGAGAGTGAGGAGAGGAAGGGATGAGGAGAGGAGGAGGAAACGCCGGAGGAGGGAAAGAGATGATGACTCAGAGGAGAGAAGAAGAGAGCAATCTGTTGAGTCGGAGGAGGAGAGGAGCAGGAAAAAGTCAAAAATTCATGGCAAGTGGAGAGGAAAAGAAAGAAAATCCCTTAAGGAAAACTTTAAAGTGGAAAGAGGAGATCAAGTTATGGACAAATTAAAGCCAGAAGTCATGATGAAGAATAGCAAAGAGACTGAACTGCATATTCAGACTGAAATTAATGTTAAGCAAAGGGAGGGTGAAGAGGATGAGTCCATTAAACCTAAATACAGAAAAGAGAAGAAGAAGGCAAAAGAGAAAGCAGACACTAGGACAGAGGAGGAAAAGCTGTGGGACGACTCGATTCTGGGGTGTTAAACTCTGCAGGAGCAGCTGAAGTGAACAGTATTCTGGACTACTTTTGGCAAACATTTATTATAAGCATGACATTGAAAATAATAATAAGCTATATTAAAATGATTTAAAAAAAATCCTGTCAGCAGGTAGCAAAGGCCTTTTCTATATCTGCTCTAGCAACCGAAAAGTGTTTTCTTATACAAGTTTGCTAGCTGGCTAGCCATGTAGAGTCAATTTGTATGTGTATAAGAAATGAATGTATTTCGTTTGTATCTGGAGGAGATTCAGCATTAATTTTATACTATGACACTTTATAATAAGTTTGGTTTGTGTGTACAGTGAGTTGATGGCTGTAATGTTTAGCACTGTTTGTTTATGAAGTACTCTTAACTCATCACTAAGGTAAATTTGATTATGGATGCGTGCATCTGGCATGGACTTGATAGATTGTCATCCCTTTAGCAGTCTCTGGTTGGCACTGTTGAGCTTCATCCATTTCATCAGTACTGAAAATAAAAGCTCATAGATGTCAGAAGCTTATTCATTTCATTACTTCAGAAGCTCTCTGTGTGTTCTCACTCTCAGGCACAAAGGTTGAAATAAAGCCACTGACAACGTGCTGTACAGAAGTTCAGTGTAAGACGTATTATGAAATGATAAAAATACAACAAATACTGCCTGGCACATGCGTTGCACCACAGCAGATTTAACACTTCATTAGTCTGCAGTGCACTGTGTGCATGTCTATGTTTTATGATTGTATTTATACAACCAGAAAACACATTTGCGGTCATACAGGTGCAGACGTTCAAATGAGGACATCTCTTTACATAACCTCAGAATTCAGGTTGAAGAGCAATGTGCAAACTGAACAAAGTTAGTAGTTAAAGGAAACTCCAAAGGGAAACAGTATCACCTACTGTTAAACTATGAGCTATAAAGTGGGCCACTTACACTCCTAATCCCTACTGTCATTTTTATTTACATGTATCTACACAAATGTTCTTTTAAGTAAATCTTAAGGTATCTGAAATGAGTTATCAAAATACTTTGGCCGAGCCACTGTTCCTCTGATGCTCTTGGTACATCACATCTACTCAAGAAAAACAATTTTGTGTTTTTATCTTTTCGATTGCTTGTGGGCTGTATTGTTAAATGTTCATTGAGAGCTATATGTATGTGCCTAGATATGAAAGTAGTTGGTAGTGGTCAAACGAGGAGTGAGTGTGAATTTATCTGAAAAGTTTATAAAGAAAAACTTTTAAATCAACATGCGTGAAATAACTTCCCATTGTGTTTTGAATGTCAGTCGTTATTAAGTTAGATGTTGATTGGATTGCTGGCGCAAAGAAAAAATGTGGATCATAGAAGTGACACAAAAGTTGAAATGGTTTAGTGCAGAAGTCCTGCAGATGCTGTAAATAATCTTCTGAACTATGGTCTTGACATTAATTATCTTTAAAGCTCTGGTAATGAGAATGACACTGCTACATCTCTGTATTTTTTATGGATGACTTCTCAAAGAATACTAAAGTAAAAAATAAAGAAAGAAATAGCAGAGCAGGCAAGTAAAACCAGAGCTTGGCAGCATTTGACGTAAAGCATTGAAGTGGAGAGACCAACAAAGGCTTTATAGCTCAGCGATGTGTGAAGAGCGCACATCTGAAGACCCCTGAGATCTGTTTTCAAAGAATCTTGTTCCTCGCCTGAGTGTACAACCCCCGTAGAACTTTAGGGTTCCCACATCCTCTCACTTTAAGATCCCCACCAGACCGTTCTGTACCCTTACCCTTTACGAACGCACAAAAGATCCACAAACACCACATGATTTAAAGGATCATCACTGTTATCGAGCAAGTGTGAAAAGGACGTCTGTGAAAAAGAGATTTCAAAAGTCCTCTCTTTGTCAGAATGGCAACTTTAAAAATTACACATCAAACATTGCAGAGATACTGTCTTGATGTAGGGAAAAGTGCTTCAAATCAGGTTTTATCTCTGAATGTCAGTGAAACTCATAGTCTTCAACGTGAGGCATAGATTTGAGTTCGTTGAGTAGATGTTGATGTATCTTGTCACAAAATGCAAAAAATAAAACAATTCATTGTGAAAAGCCAAACATACAATGGCTCCACATTTGGAAATGCATAGGTGTCCTGTGTGTGATGTATGTGTACATATATAAAGTTTAAATACTATATCTGTAATGATTTTCTTTAATTTTAAATATAAAATCAATCAGTGGTTGTTGTTTTTTTAAGCAATCGTGAAAATAACTGATGGTTGCAGCTCTAACTGGCTTATTTTTTGGTTTCAAGCAATGTGCCTGTAACTGCCTGATTAAACTTAATAATGAGTCCCCTTAACAATGATGCTGGTGCAGTGGGACATAATGAACATAGTCTGCTGTTTTTACACAGCCAGGGGTCTGTAACTGTTAAATGCTTGTATGTAAGGGGTTGGATAGTAAAAATGTGAATATCAAAAAAGTCAGATAATATGAGATATATTTACTTAAGAACTGATTATAATATAAAACTATATGTGCACTTTTCAAAGAAGAAAAAAGTAATGCAAAATTGCTTGCACAGGCACAAACTTCACTGGTTTTGACTTTAATGTTTGTTTCATGCGAGTCTTGAAGAACTTTATGGCAGGTGGAATACTGAAGTTGCCTTACACACTCCATTGAATATTTAAATGTGTTTTGTATTGTTAATCCTCGTATGCAATTATTTCGTTACAGAGTTTAGGTGCCATATGTTTATATTCCCTTTTTGTTCTGTGCATGAAGCTCTGTATGTGTGGCTCTGCTGAACTCTAGGTCATGCACCTGGGCAGAGACCACAGCACTGCAAACTGCTGCTCTGGAAATATGCAACATTTTTTAATTGCTTTTGTTTATGTGGGACATAATGTGAGACAACACCACATTTTCAGCTGTGAAACATTCACTTTACGCCTCTATGAATGTTGGGGATGAATACGTTTTCTTTTTTCTTTTTTTTAAATAACAGACTTAACATAATAGTAACAGCTGTCATCGTTGGGCTCTGTTAGTTGAACAGAATAAAGAATGGCATCAATAGGTTTATTTTGATGCAGCACTTGTGCTGATCCTTATCTGTATTAGGCATTTGGGGTTTTAGAGCGTGTACGTTAAAGTCCCAGTGACTGGTGTAATGCTGTTATACCGTATCTGATAGGCCCTCTGTATCATTTTAGGGTGTTGCATTCAAGCCTCAGGGCCCTGTCAGCATAGTTCCTCCCATCATCTATGACAGATAGATATCAAGACGAGAAAGTATTAGCAACCTCCCTCAGCTAGCACACAAGTTACACACAGATACGGATACACAGCGACGGCCTGACAAAATGTTCTTTCTGTCACTGGCATGGCTATTGTTGACAGGACCACTTTGGACATCTGGTAGGACCATCAGCTTTGTCTTTAATCTCATAAGACACAAACGTTCTTGCTGTTGCAAAGTCAGGTAGCTTACCGAGGGATGTTGTTGTTTTCAAGTTCAACTGATAATCGTCTGATTTTTATCTTAAAATGTACATTTATTAAATACAGTCATTGCCATAGCATGTGATAAAGAATGAAATGTGGCTTTAAGAGTCAAAGAAGTGAGCTTTGGTTTGTTGGTTTAACACTTAGACATGATATATATGAAAGTATAGATTATTGATACGGCTATGTTATTACGTTAATTATCAGCCTTTGAGTTTTGCTTCTATACTTTAAGGGTAACATTGCAGCATTCCCCTGTAGTTTTTCATCATCATTGTCTTTTTTATATTTGCATCACTCTACTGGGGAGATTGAAATAAATCAGATTTGTGTCGTATTGTGACACATGTAAACTAAATTAGTCTTGAATGTAACACAGCACTTGTATTTCGTTTATTTTTGCAAGAACAGCATGAAGCAAGAGCCAGTAAGTCTTAACCTTTCATACAAACACAGTGTTTGACTTGCTGTGTATGTTTATATATTTCATAACACTATTTCATAACACAGGCCTGTGCATTTGACTTGAAAACATAGAAAGTATGATTGTAAAATGCGAAAAGATGTTTTACCACATAGGCCTCTTGTAAAATATCACCTAAATGCTAAATCCACCATACAGCAAATCCAAAATGTCACTGTTAAGAGTTTGAAATATATACAGGAGATTTCTTCATATTTTCATATTTTATATTGCCAGTTGGATTTATACTGGCTTTCGCTATGTAGGAAGCGTGACAACTTGCATTTATTATTACACGTATTAGTATTCCTTTTCCTTAATTAACTGCACATCTTTACGGGAGGATTGGCCATAAACCTTTGCAACGAATGGGCGAGGCAGCTTGTTATATAGTAACTCAAAAATAATTTCGGAGGAGTTTTTGAATGTGCTACAAATGTGTTGCTGAAATCTTAAATGTCGCTCTTTTTCCTAGGTCAAGATTTAAAACAGAAGCTGCTGGAAGAAGAAGTCAGCGTTCGTTACCCTAAGATCCCAAGCAGTGAGACCATTGATTGTGATTGTGGCAACATGGCTTGTGACTTAGTCTTCTGGTTCCACAGTGACATGAGTAGCAAAGTCCACTTTCTAGGCAAATGCAACAATGCTGACCGTACTCTCTATGGAGTTAACGTGGACAAAACACGTTTTAAACTCAGTAAGAGGGGCAGTAAGTCTTTTGCGCTCCGTATCATCAATGTGACGAAAGAAGACAGAGGAATTTATTCTTGTGTCTTGAAGGAAAAAAATCTTAATGAAGTATGGAAGCCTGGGACTCTTCTACTGCCAGGAGGTTTGTATTCTAAGTGCTTCCTGTCACAGTTAAATATCAGGCTAAATGTGAAATTTTCAAAATATCCATCTGATTTTGAAGAGGCAGGTCAAGCTGATGGATGATTTAAGGCTTTGGTGTGTAAATCCAACATATTAGGACTCCTACTTTAATACAAAAAATGTCTAATATTCTGCGGACTCACTGGACACCTTTAAAAGTGTGGCGCACTTACCTTGCTTTATCAGTCGAATTCAACACCATTTTTAAAACGGTGAAGGTGCACTGCAAAAATGTGAACTAAAACAGTATGCAGTGATTTGCTACTCATTTACAAAGAAAGAATATCACTTTCTGACAGACCTTCATTTAGATTTTTTGTTGTTGTTTTTTTAAATATATATGATCGTTTTTCCAGGAGAAGCAGCTATAGAATGTTTAAAGATACCTGGGGGAGCATGCCACAAGTAATCATGTTTTGTTTTTGTTTTTTTTTAATAAAATTGGGTATGAAAAAGCATTCCAATGTCCATAAGGAGTAAAAGATGGAGCTTTCACGACTCTCTGAAAGCGTGTGTGACTACATATGTAGTCAAGGTAGAATTTCTAAGTATCTGAGGAAAATTCAAATTTGTCGATTTTATCATCTAGAGAACTTAATATCAAAAGATTCAGGGAATGCACGGAAATCTTTGTACAGACGTGAAAGGGGTATGGAATGCCCGTGATGTTCATGCACTCTGGAGTTATTGTGTTAAAAGTGGATGTTTCATGGAAATCACTGTACGGACTCCAGAAACACTTCTGACAGTGAGTGAACACTGTTTATCGCTTAAAGCTGCACCAGAGAAAGAAAACCTTTTTTAAAGGTGTTTATGGCATCACAATCAAAATGAGTGTATATTTTTCAAATCATAAAAAATTCTGTTTCCACATTTGGTATGACATAAGGTTTAAATCATTTGCAAATCAATGCATATTTGCATTTTGGAAACCAAACTGGTGTCTTTGACACAAGTAAACGTTGAGAAGTTCTTTTGTATCCTGGCTTTCTGCTTCTCTTTGCCTAGCTGATGCTGCCTTACTTATCTTTCTGAACGAGGCTTAAGCAGTAAAACTTTCTCACAGCACGGGCAAACAGAAGATATTGGTACACATTCAATAGGCCAAATGGGTAAATTCTAACTACAAATAAGAAAATAAAATGCTGAAAAACTGTTCGCTGGCTCAACAGATGTACAGATGGAGGGCGATTCTGTTAATAATCATGTCAATTGTTTCTTCTCTTTGCCAATTAGAAACTTGGTAGAGAATTGCTGCAACAACAACTTTTTTATTTTAGAAAAAAGTTGTTTTTTTACTTTTCTTAATGGTGCTTCTGGGTGGCTTTGGCTCAGGCGATCAGGCAAGTCATCTTCTAATCGGAAGGCTGGTGATTCGATCCCTGGCTTAACCCATCTACATGTTAAGAAGGATACTTGAACCTTGAGTTGTGTTCGTCAGAGTGTAAATTTTGGTTAGAAAAACACTTAAAGAAAAAAGTGCCTGTATGTGACAGAGATATGTTGTATAAAACGCTGAATTACAGCAGAACTAGAGCAGAAAAGCGCTCTACAAGAACCAGTCCATTTACCTTTCTTTGGTCTTTATTTGACAGAGACCCCACCAACACCACCTCCTAAGCCAAAACCCAAACCACCATCCAAACCAACCTGTCGTTGCAATACAGGCGACTCCAAGGGTAAGTTATTATAGAATAAAAAGAATAAAAAGGACTTTAAATTGTTTGCAGCAGTGCATAATTGAACATTTTCTTGCAAAATGAAAATTGATTAATGATTGATTATATCATGACTCCATTGGGGGGAAGAAACATGTACTCCATTATTCCTTTGTTCCAGGAGGCTGTGGCTCTATGATTCTTTGGCCTCTTGTCGGACTTCTTGGAGGCTTGGCTCTGGCTGTTCTCTGCACGCTGCGTTACTTCAGCCGTGAGTAGCGTTTAATACATTAAATACCGTGAAGTCAACAAAACAGCCGGACAAAGGTTCCAGAAAGACACGACCAGAAATGGATTAAATTGTGCTAATAAAGGTTGAGAAAATCAAATTTTGTGATATAGTAATGTTTTATTTCTAAAATGTTTCCTTTTTTCTTCAACAACATTCTCACTTACAGGACTGCCAAGAAAGTGTCACCACCACTTTGCAAAGTAAATACAACATTAGTAAAAACAACTGTTTTTGTCTTTCATTTTATTTTTCATCCATATGCACAAGAAAAATCAAAATTCTTTACAGTATTTTTAAACTCTGATTCTGCCACCATATGCACGGACGATGCTTTAATCTCCGTCTTCTGTTTTCTCTATTAAGGAAAAGGCAGACGTTCTAAAAAAACCTGCGTCTCATGTATTTTTAAGGTAAGTATTACATATGTTAAATGTTGTCTATGGTTATTGAAACTAATGAAAATTAACAAATATTGCTTCTTTGATTGCAGTGACTGAAGTGCTTTGATTGAGTGTTCTGTCCGGCCATGAAAGGCATGATTCACCCCTAATATCGGGTCTTCTAACAACATCTCGAGTTTATTTACGCTTCAATGAACTCTCAGCAAGAAGAAACATTTGCTTTTTCAACAGCAGCAGCAGCCATGTAACATAACGCATGTAATAATGCATAATGTAACATAAAGTTTAAAGACCCATGTTGTGTTTTGTATCTATAATCTTTCTTTCTGTCTCTAATCAGTGAACTGCATTTAGCGTAATTTATCAATGTGGTTTTCAATTCATCAGGTATTAATGTGCTGTGAACTGTAATCATTTATTTTGATGCAAACATCACAAAGTACACAAATAGACATACAGTAATTGTGCAGTTTTCTGCGTTTTTTGCTTTCTTCTGTACTTCTTTGTGTTTTTCACGTTATTGCAGCAGTTTAGACACAGAACAAAAAGCACTGTCATGTCGGTATTTCTGTGAGCATGCTTGTGTTTAAACAATAAAACTGTATCATTTCAGTCATTTATGGTGGTTATGAGTGATCTAATTATCCAAAATGCAGCATTGCCTAGAAAGCAATGATACTCAGGAGGTATTTTGCAATAGCAGAAATGCTTCCTGTCCTGAAGCTACAGGTCAAGCACTGTGCATGTTTTCCAGTGATAGGAACAGATAAGACGTTCTGGCTTTGTTGCGTTGTTCGTCTTAGATGTCTGTGCCTGTCTGTGGAGAGGGTATAGAGGTTTGAAAGTGGGCGTTGTACTTCCATTGTCAATATTGTGCTTAGCGGAAGTTGAGTAGGTGAGTGACAGGGTTTGGTGTCTTCTTTTACTTTTGATGTGTAAACTTGCATCATATTCAGTTTCTCTTGAACTGCCATGTATGTGGCAACAAGCTTTGCTGTATAATGTTAAATTACAGGCTACAAAGTCATTTCATAGTAAGTGTAAGTCTCTTGCTTCCTTATTCACCCTTGTGTGCATGCATACAGATACACACACACACATACGCAAACCAACCCAGTTACACCTGGGTGATTGAGAAGTGCAAAGACACAACTAAGTTCGCGGTTGATTGGGTCGCAGGGAATGTACGCAGCTCTTTCCTGTGTGCTGGAGCACGAGGATATACCGAACTATGTTCACTGAGATGCTATCGCTTCGCTCAGCTTTGAGCTATTCGTCTAGTCCCTGAAACAAAAAGACCACAAAAAGTACCACAGACTGAACCACAAGCACTGACAGAGAAAGAGGAGCAGTAAGCGAAAGACAAAGTAAAAAGTTTCTAAATTAATGCATTAAAATAAATAAATAAATGCATGAAAACCTTCTTAAGAGTTTTTGGAAGACATTTCATTGACCAAATGAATTTACACTGGCTGAGGATGTTACATATTTAATAAATGGAAATACAAGAAATATTATACAAGAAAATTAAGGAATGTGTTTGAATTCTTGTAAACCGAGGTAACACTGGTTGAGAAGACTTTTAAAAACACATCCTGTATCAGCACTATGCAAAAGTATTACTGCTTCACAGTCAAAGCCAAGTAGACCAAGGTCACAGTACACTGCCACCTTAAGAAAAGCAAAAATGTAAGTATGAGATAATCTTAAGACACAGCAACACAAATCATAAAGGTGCGCCAACTCATTGGGTACAAAACTTAATATTGTAATCTTTGTAGAGTTTGTTGTTTGTATTTGCTTTTAATTTTAACAGATGTATTAAAAACTTATAGAACCCTTACACGTTATTATCATATGTAAGTAAATTCATTAAGTTATGTGATGTATGCTAAAAAGAATGGATTTCTTCAGCTTTCTGTATAGATTTATTTTAAACATTGAGACACAGTTGAAACTAAATGCTCACAGATATGATGAACTGTAAACATTATTTTTCTGTTATTTTTCAGTTTTCTGATGTCTCCTTCATTTGTTTCCTGAAATAGTAGAGTCAAATCAGACATACATTTTTTACATTTACTTTTTAAAAAAACAAAACAAACTTGTTTGCAAATGATAATATTTGTATAATGTTTGACCTGCAAAATAACAATGTCTTTGTGAAGTCTTGTAAACGTCCATTCATCCATCCATTTTCTTCTGGTTATCTGAAAATAAATCATGGAAAACAAGTGCTTACATCCCAAAAAAGGGAATTTAATCCAGTACTTTTCTTCTTAAATATTGTAACAGCCACAAACTATAACAGTGTATAATTTTTTAATCTAATGATGTGGCAGTGCTATATACTCAACTGTTTGTGGTGAAATCCATAACTATTATCTCATGTTACGTCTTGCTACAGATACAAAATACATAAAAGACACATATTTATATATTATTTAATTAAATATAGGTAATATGCACATTGTGACTGTCGGGATGAAATATTATTTTGCATTCATAATCTATGTTACTATTCATAATCAGTATTATTACTGTGGCATCACTTATGATTCATCATTATTATAATTTCATTGACACATTTATTGAAACTGATGATGTTATATTAAAGTCTGTATTTCAGGTGTTAGCATAAGCACATAATAATCTTTCATTGCAGGTGCAACTGTAATCATGTTATACACATATTGCACAATTAAAGGGTTGAAGCTCAGTCAAATTAATTAATGGTTTGAAGCTATGGGCAGCGCGATGTCTGGCTGATCAATGGAGCAAAGTTCAGCTATTGAAAGGTTGCCTACATGTTTACAGTATAATTTACTACATATTGCCTGTGTGCATTTATGCATTATATATTATATATATATATATATTATATATAGTACAATTATATACATATATACATACCTATATATATATACATATCATAACATACATACATAATAATCATACATACATACATAAATACATAATACATATAATATATATATATAATATATACATACATATATACATATATAAACATACATACATATATATACATAACATACATACATATATACATATAACATACATACATACATACATATATATATATATACATACATACATATATATATATATACATACATACATATATATATATATACATACATACATATATATATACACACACAATTTAACACATATTTTACATGATTGTATAAGAAAGGAAATAAAGGCCGTGTGCCCTGTGGTATGGATGTTTGCCTGGTAACAGATGACGTAGAGGGAGGTCATGCACTTAGGTTAACAACACAGACACATAGTCTCTCTGGGTAAACTGATTGCAGGTGTTGTCTAAGTCTAGAAAAGTGTAATAACGGGAAGCGTCTGGGAGGCGGTGGAGGAACTGAGAAAGGAACTGTTCTGTTTTAGAATATGTCCTATGTTGTTTTTCATCTGGGGTGACGTATATTGTTGGTCATCATATGAATAAAATGATCCATCTCAACTATTGTACGGAAGTTCGATGCTTTTTGGGTGATCGTGCTCGACTTCCCCCCATATGTTTTTCAATAAAATCCTGTTTTGATGCACCTGAATGGGACTTTGCAGTCGTTTGTCTCTTCCCTCAAAAAAGAACAGGTGACAGATCTTGGTGCCGAAACCGGTTTGAGGAGGGAGCTTTTGGGTTGGCTGTGAGGTCCGGCGGGTGCGGCCAAACACACACGGACGGGAGCCGACCAGGTCGACTGAGTGACGTGCCAGGCAACAGATAGAAGGTAAGCACCACCTGTTGATTCAAAATAATGTCCAAAGGTGATAAATTGGAAATTAAGCTAAATTAAATGTTCACTCAGTAGAGCTTCTGGTTTGTGTCCGTGGGGATTTTGGGGTGTTTATGTTAAGATGTTATGTGTTTAAATTGATGTGTTATATTTGTTGACTGTGACGCCATCAGGCAAGCTTTAGTTTAGGGTATTTGGTCAGATTGATCAGCAGAACTGGGTTCGGGCATCACATTAGATTGTTTGTTGGGGCTTGGAGCCCACAGTGATGCTTTTAAGACGTATATAAATTAGTTTAGGACCGGGGTTGGACCCCGATGAATGCAGTTTTGTCCAGCGTTTGGCACCGACCAATAGCCGCGGGCATTCGGACTCCCGTTAATAGGCTAGGCCAGGGCCACCTATGGTCTAGGCGATCTAAGGGGATTGCCTTTATACTGCATTGTTTGACTGACACAATTAGGATAAACTAAAATTGAAACTGCAGTTTTCTAATACAGACCATCTTGAGATATCAATATTAAGTACAGTTTCATGCATGTAATAAGAGTCAATACACAGAAAAATTTAGCTTTATCCTTTCATGTCGTCTGTAGAGACACGTATGTACAGAAAGTGTTGTGCACTATTCAAAACTCTATTGAAAAGTGCAACAAACAAACTTATTCCAAGCTCTTTAGTAAGAAGACACGTACACGTATTATTTCCAATTTGTCACATTTGTATAAACTATTTCAGCTTCCTTAGCAAAAATCCCAAACAGTATATGTAAATATATCACGTCTTCAGATGGAGAAACATTTTATATGTAAAATGGCCTGAGTGTAAATTTAGCCCATTCAGGACAAATTTGTGCTGCTTGTAAAAAGCACATTAACTGCTTGAAAGCAGTTTTACAGCGTAGACCTTTTTGAGATATCAGTATCAAGGAGATGTAACTTCTTACTTTGCAATATTTAGACAGTTTGCTTAGCAAAAGCCAACAAAGTAAAGCAAAATGAAAGTTGTAACAGGAAGCATTATCCACAAATTATGAAAAAAATTCTGACCAAATCACTTTAACTTTGAAGTCTTTTAGAGCGCTCCATTTCTACTTACTCCAATCCTCTTGATGCTCTTGGTTTCCACTTTACTCCTTTTTCTATAATGCTTGAAACCAGACCAGCCAGTTGAGCAGCAGAGCAATGATAACTGAGCCAAAGTGAACAAAAAAATACTATTCAAATGTGTTTACTGGTAATGAAGGTGGCATTTTCAGAACACAAGAATATTCAGCATTATTGTGCTGAGTACCTTTTTTTTTCACTGGCTTCCCCTGGTCACCCACCACATAATCACACACACACACGCTCAGGTTTCAGGTTGGAGATCCCCTGTGTGACTAAGATAGGGAAGCCCATGCAGGTGTGTTTGTGAGTGACTCAACCCTGAAACAGAGACATGGAAAGGTGAAGTGGGCTAATTGTGTGCTTTTTGACTGGGTCTTCCCTTTGATACAATGCATCAACAGAATCCCCTATTTGCTGAAAACAATGCAAGACTGAAACTTGATTTAATTTGTAATAAATATAAAAGTGACTTACTGAAAGCAAAAATAGGGTCAATGACAATCTGAATTTCGAGGAATTATTGTAACAGTTGAAAGAAAGACAAAAAAGACAGACAGACAGAAAGAAAGAAAGACGCTAAATAAGATTAACAAACCAAACAAAACTGTGTCCTCTTATTACTCTCACTCCCCCCTCTTTTTCATTCTTTCTGTCTCCTCCCACCCATGGAACAGATCACCCACAAAAGCGCAAAATGTCAGCACTCAGTGCCCATTACCAAATTGCTGCATTTATTTTCCAGCACTGAACCGGAAAAAGGGCTTCGAGTTGCGCCATAGCAGCTGTTGCTCTACTCGGTTTATCTGAAGGGGGTTTCACTTCCGTACAGCTCTTAGACAACATTTCACTTGAAATGACACAAGCTGTAACGCTTTATGGTTGCTACGTTCTTCTTTCCTTTTGCTAGAGTTGTTAGCTCAATATAGCTTTATAAACTGTGAATAAAACTGATAAGATTTAAACTGAAGCAGGTAGGAACACTCTTTGAAATGAATATTCTAGAAATTTAATGAATTCAAATTCCTGTCTTTTCCCATAATGAAAATTGTAGTATCTTTTGTTAGCTCACAAGCGGTTTCCTTTAAATTTTCAGTCCCCCAAGTTCCCGAAGACCGAAAAAAAGACCTGATAGCCATTATCTTTAAGAATGACTTCATGCTGTTGCTCATGCACAGCATAACAAAACAATAAAAACATTAAAAAAAAGTTACTTTGTTCATTTTTCACAAGATTAAACTCATGCGCTGTACCCTCCATCCAATAGAAGAAGTACTTGTATGAATATGTGTGAATGGATGAAAGCGGCAAGTTATATAAAGCGCTCTGAGTGCTCAAGAAGAGTAGAAAAGCACTACGAACCAGTCCATTTACCATTCAGACCAATGTCACTGAACATATTTTCCATTACTTGTTTCAGCAGGTGTACACCTGTAATAAAATGAATTATTCAGGTTTGACTAATACTTCAAATTATTTTACATAAGTTTGTATCTTTGCTCAGAAGTATGTCTTGATGGATGCTTAATCATTCAGGTAAATAAATCCCAAAAAGTTGATTCTGTTCATCTGGACTGGGCTGTGAGTTGATCAGATCCTGACCTCACAGCCCATTGTTCATTCAGTAATTGTGCAAAGGTACTGTTGACGAAACGTTTCTCCCACTTAAAACGCTACGTCCAGATGAACAGAATCAGCTTTTTGGGACGCTCAGAAGTATGTTTTGTGATTTTGTTCAAGGATTCAGTGCACAGACAGCAACATGGCGCTAAGTCATTTTGCTGCCATCTAATGGTGTAAATATCGGTCTTGTGGAAGCGTTGTAACACTGCGCAATCGCATGCCTAACATTGGATCTTAGGGATGTTTGCCTACACAGTACTTTTAAATAATTTGGAACAATGAAAATATTGGAAATTGTCATAAATTAGTCGAGTATAAAGGTAAAAATCTTAAATCTTAAATATAACATTCACAGTGATTATAAATTGAAGAGGACAACAATCTTTATCCAGAACTTGAGAAGATGGGAAATCACTAAAGTGATTATTAGTTTATATAATAATAGTATATTTTATTTTTTTTTTAATTAATTTATTGACGTTATATTTGTGTTATATCTTGTGCTTGTTACAGTTTCAAGGCTTTTTGCCCGTATTTCAGAACATGGTGATGTTAAAAACTGGGGTGTAAGATGTAAGATAATGTGAAGTCTTAGAAAAGGCCTCTGAGAGACCCTGATGCTTGCTGTTTTACTCTTAACTAAACTGTTATATGTCTCTAAATTAGTTTAATCTGAGAGATTAAAATATAGCAATGTTTGCAATCTTTGAATGTTTAAATTTCAGCAATCATTCACCAAAGGCAGGTCCAATTCAAATTACATAGCAATGACAAAGTGACTGTTAGGAGTTCATGATGAAACTTCAACAAAGAAAAGTTTGGTATAATGCACCATTTAATTTGTGCAGAATTGGTGTAGAGTTGCGTGAACTATGTTCGTTGTGCATCGTTTTCACTTCCTATCTCATCCATTTTCAGCCTACATACTGCGCACTGCTGCATTTGTGTGCCAATAGTTTGTGGATGAAGTAGTGGTGTTCAATGCTTCAAACCAGAGGTAGAGGAGTGAAGTGCAGATTGGGTGGGTTACAAACATTGTGCAGACCACGATCGTGTTGCAGGTCTCTGCAAGACTCTGCTGCAATGGTCCCATTTGACAGAGCAGAAAAGAAGGTTACAGCTGGGGCGGGGTTTCATATCACGCTGAATTATCTCCCAGCAGACTTCAATAAACACGAAAAGGACGTGTTTAGCTCCTATTCTCGTCTGCAAGATTAAAATGGACCAAAAATGGCTTCTGATTCTGGTGATTGTGGTGTCATGTCAGAGTAAGTTGAACTTAATTATTAAGTATTATCTGATTTGTTTGTTTTTTTGTTTATTGTGTATTGTTCGCAGACACAGAATGTTTTTTTTCTTCTCTCATTTTATAAAATCTTTTAGAATTCACTTCAGGGACTTTCAAAGCAAAGGAAGGGGATAAGATTGATATCAGCTGTACACCTAAAGACACAACAGGGGCCAGCATGATTGTCTGGTTTCGAGTTCTAAGCAATCACATGGAATTCATTGGGTCTTTCAGCAAATCTGGCATAAAAAAGGCCTTAGCAAAAAACTTTGATGAGCTCTACACTCACGCAAATGATCGTCTATCACTGAAGTCCTTCAAAAAAAACGACGCTGGCCTATATGGCTGTGCGTCACTTATCCAAGGTAATACACTGGTGTTTGGAGACACAACACAAATATCTGCAGGTAAGTTATGTTTCTTTGTTTGGTTTAATTTATTGTTTTGTTTATTGTTTTAGTAGGTTTACACATAACTTTAACTTCTTCTTTCTTTTTTAGATAAAACTGAAGATAAAACTGAAGCACCACCAACATGCACCACCAAACCGAGTGTGCCCAAAATTGTAACCTGTGATTGTGAAGACAAGACAGTAGGAGGCAAGTGTTCAAAATCACAGTGATGTGTTATAACATTTATCATATTCATGTTTAAAATTCTGTGAGTAGAAAACGTTGGTAAACAAGGATGGTTCATTTTCAGAAGGGGAGTCCAGTTCTGCTTTTAATTGTAGTCCAATAATGCTGGGAGCTCTTTCTGGTGGCTGTGGCCTTTTTCTTCTGCTCCTCATCATCACCATATTGTACTGCAATCGTAAGTGCATCTTCAATATGAAATCTACATGATCTTCACGTGCATAAAATTTGGAACTGAATAATATATAAAATTCTGTCATTTTCTGCACTTGGAAAGCTGAAAACTATTGTAAAATCGATATTTTCACCTCAAGTTTAAATCATTTCAATTGCATGTAGGGATAAGGACACGGAGATGCCCACACCATCACAAAAGAAGGTAAGTTATTCCTTTATTTATTTTTTTAAATTTAACATTATTGTTCCATTTTAGTCTAGGAATACAGTCCATGAATAAATGAGGAATACTTAGTTATTAGTCCAACATCAGGAACCACACCCAGACAGCAAAATGACATTTTAGACTTTATTTCGTTAATATTGTTCAGCAATTTTCTTTCTTCTTATTTTCATTAATATTTTATTTTTGAAAAAAACTTATTATATAATATTAATATTTGAATAACAAAATTAAATACCTATACCCATAGTATATTATGATTGTTGTTGAATGTGTTTTTTCTCCCTATTTCCAATTACACTTGCAGTCTATTTGAAGAAAACAGTCCCTTTTTACATTAAAAAAGACAAAGGTTACTAATTATTATTTGTATTAATCATCTAAATTTACATCTCTTTTTTTCTTTTAAAATTTAGACCTCGAACGGCACCTCCTGCAAAAGAAGTGATGCCCGGCAGATATGTTTAATCTAAATGGTGAAATTTCAGACACTTCTTTTTTTCTTTAACGCTATTGCTGCATCTTCTCATCCTATTTGCTAAAGTCAGCCTAAAACATTTTCTTTGTTTGTGAAAATATGAGATGGTTTTAAAGTGGTTGTGTATTCAGCGCATAAATGGAAAGCCTTTTATTGCCAACATTGAGTTATAATTTTCATGTGGCTTGATGGCTAACAACACTGTTTTGTCACAGGTAGATTGAACCCTTTTAATGATAATTGTGTGGTTTAAAGAGTTTATTTTGCAAATCCACATCAATTCTTATGGTTACGGGTACGGCTGAAGATGATCCTGAGAAGAATTCATTTTGTTTCTGAACTGTGAGCAATAATTGTATATAATTCTTTTGAATTTAAATATTTTTTATTTAATTTTTTGGGAAGTTTTAAAAGCAATAACAGTGTGCTTTTGTTTTGCATTCTGCACACACTATTTGAATTGCTGCACTCGCATTTAGTCATCAAAACAATTTAAAGCAGATTTTTTTTTTGGCTTGTTTAAAATTACACTTACTCGAAAAGCATTTGATTTTATTCATTCACATGTTTTTAAGACTGTAGAGTAATACTGAAAAGAACAAATATGGCACGTTCTTTTGTTTTTGCTTTTAACCGTTGCACATCCTCAAAAAAAAAAAAAAAAAAAAATTCTCGTTTCTATTTTCAACATAAAACGCTGTACAAAATAAAATAAAAAAATAAAACCACTCGGAAAAGCATTCCTTCTTCAATGAACTGTATTTGACTTTATTAGATTTTATTTTTCCACACATCAAACCCACTCATTTGGATTCCCATCAGTCATTCAGGGTCTTGGCACCAAAGTAGATTTGAGCAAAAGACATTTGTTTTTTAAGCCCCCCACTTGAGTCTAAAGGAAGTGGAGTGCTACAACTGTAAGCAGAGCGCAAAACCACAAGTCAAGAGCGGATAAAAAAATTCTTTCATAGGAGATTACACTCCCACGCACTTTAATACATACACATTTCCCCTTGCACCTTTACAAACACATTGTTTGTTCACCTTTCCTACAATATTTAGTTATTTTCTCCAGCATATTAAGTCAGTTAATGTTATCTTTTGTTTCTCTTTTAAGGTACAATAATAATAAAATGATACTGCATGATTTATTTATGTATTTATTTTTTTCAATTTAGTTAGCATTTCCCCTTATACATCTCATATCTTGGCTTAACTCTACAAAAAAAGGGTGGAATTATAGTGACTAACTTTACAATTGAAAGCAGTAGCCCTTTGTAAATTACAGTGTTGTGTTACGTAGAGCAAAACTCTTTTACAGCTCACAAACAACGGCAGTTTACAAAGCTTGTAAACATCCTGCTTCAATAAGTGCACTTTTGAATGTCTTTTTTTTCCTTTCTGCAAACCCAAAAACACAGAAAAAGACCTACTTGACAGATATTGCTCTGTTTAAAGAGAGACATTTGCAAAAAGCTCTCCAATACAGAATTAATTAGAACACCTCCTGGGAAATCCACATATTCAATAATGTAAACTATGTATTGTTTAAAATATAAGCGAACTAAGCTGTACACTAGTGTCTTATGTAATGGTGTCCAATCATGATAGAAAAACTTTTTGTGTGTGTGTGTACATCTGGATTGCACAAAACTTCCCGGTGCTATACACCTACTCCATACTGCACTCACACAAGTTGACAGTCTCCACTGCTCCAACTAATGTCACAACACCAGCAGGTTTAGGTCACCGGTGTTGTAATAGAAGTGTTTTGCTGGAGGAAAAAGAAAAAGACGAAACAAAAAAACCCCACCTGTCAACTGTGATGTACATGCGTGATTCTTGGCACCCAAAAACGTTTTCCCACAGTTTCACTTCTTTCATTTCCATCCAGTTTTTAAAAGTCTCTTTTATATTCTCTAAAAAAACCCAAAAAACCCAAAACAAAACTTCTTATCTTTGAACTGTAAAGCAGATAGGTGTTTAAGTGTGCGTGCATGTCCGTTTGTGCTTCTATGTGTGTGCATTGCGTAAATGTTATGGGTATGTGTAGGTTTTTTTCTTGACTCCAATATACATTCTTAACAATTTACAAAAATAGAATCGTTATCCAGAGAGCAGCTCCCTCACCGATGCGTCCATGTGGCCTGGAGGACAGATTTAAAGCGACAACCTGTAACAAGTGATATTCAGCAGTCAGTTTAAAGACTTGACATCTATCCTTCTAATATTCAGGGTTTTTTTTTTTTTTAAATCACTTAAATATGACAAATCTTACCATGTGACCTAGCTCTTCTTCTTTGTAGAAGTTGGCACAACGTCTGAGCTTCTCTGAGCTGATAGCTGGCCAGGGGCAGATGGTTCCTCTGCTTGTTGTTTCTGATGTTTTTAACAAATAAGTATTAAAAATGATAAAGAATTCATGCCTTTGCAGTATTACAGGCTGAAATCAACATCAGGCAAAGCAGCGTGAGGAGCGTGAGCAGCTTGTCACATGCCACTATGTGGAGGCCCCTGCAGAAATTAGAATTCAATAACTGCTTCTGCTGTGAGACTTTGGCTCAGTTATAAGTGCACAGATCCAGTGTGTCAGATACGTTGCTTATTCAGCCTAAGTTAGGTCTTCATGCAGCAGACGATTTGCTTACTTTAGATTTTGACTTTGACTTGCTCTTTCCCTGTAACAAAGTCGACACCTTGATTAGGCTCTACAACTCACACTGCTCCATGACGTAGTGAGCACAGACACAGTAACAGCTAGTAAGGAAACCTATAGGGGGCGCCATGTACCAATGAGAAATAAATGTTCTGCAATCATTCTTCTGAAGTGCAGTTTAGTCAGAAGCGTTTTTCTTAGAAGCTTCCAAGAAAAAGATGTACATTTGGTCCTGTTTCTTATAGTAAAGTGTAATATTTAAACACTTCTAAATGGTCATATAGATTTTTACCTTTGGTTTGTCTGTTTTAGATTTGCCTTTTACTGGATCTGGAAGCAGGGTATCAGACAGGGACTCCAGAACAGGACCAGCCATCGGCTAGAAAAGCAAGAATAAATAAAAAACAGTTAATAAACTCAAGAAGATCATAAGAAAGCATTTTCTAGAAGTGGTTTCAGGTACAAAGATGGTATAAAACAACTAAGTAAGGACCATTTTTAACACTGTAAGTAATCATCAGTGATAGTCGCAATCACAGCCTATTAGGTGGCTCTCCCTGGTATGAGCTCATTGTTCCTTTTTCAGGATGAGCAAGTAATCTATTGTGAAAGCAAAAATTAGGATTATGGTCGTCACCAACTATGAGTCAAACCTCACAACACTCAGTTAAGGTGAGACAGACACATGTGTCACACCTTGATGGAGTTTAGCTAATATTAGCTAGAAGGAGTAGAAATGGTAGGTTTTATTTCTCCACTACCTTCAGAGGAGCTGAGTCCAGCGCAGGAGGTTCCAACTTTGTTGTGGCAGCACACGAGGTGACCGGTGCATCAGGCTTGGGAGCATCAGAGAAGTCACTGGACAGCATTTCTAAGGCTGTTGTGTCATCCATACTCTTCTACAGAGTGTTAAAAAGGGAATGCTTTATTGTCATCGTTCACATAAATCATTAATGTTTATTTTATTTTAGAAATATTGTGTGAGGAACTGACCTCTTTGGGGATGTTGGCAGCTTTTTTCTTTGCTTCTTCCATTTTCTTTAAAATGAAATTCATGAAGTTTAGACTCTCAATAAAGCAACAAATGCTATACTACACTTTATAAATGTCCCTGTCACATGTTGCAGTCTTCAGTAGTGTATGGATGGACTAGTGGACTAATAACAAGATTATATAATGTAAAAGACTTCCGTTTTCACAATATTACACACTGACTGAAAAATACAGTTAAATGAATGAATAGTGTCCCTGATCATGTTTTGTATTGTTATTACTTCACAATATTTAATGTAATTCTCATTACCCAACCCAGCTTGCAGCAGACTATCAAGAGGAAGAACACTCTATATGTTCACATCTTTAAAGTAGGAAAGTTGTACTGGACTGCTAAGTAAATGTACTTCACTTTTAGGATCTCATTTCAAAGGCTGTCAGGTTACCTTACGGTCTTCCTCAGTGGGTCGATACTCTGGTGGTAGTGTGTCATCTCTCTCTCCCATTTTAATAAGCTTCTCCTCAGCAATCGTTTTCTCCTGCAACAACAAGGCAAATCAAAACAGCTGAAGTGGCATGCAGATTTTTTATTATTATTTTAAATTATTTCTATTATTTTAAACCATGCTAGCTACCTTGACGGGATCTTTAACAGGACCTGGGGCGGGCTGAGGAACAGGTTTGATATCCCCCAAGGTGTCTGACAGAGCATCAAGGGCATTGTCTGCTCCAGCTTCCAGCTGAATGTGCAAAAACCCCAGAAAAAAATATGATTTTGATGTAGCTGCAGATAGTTGTATAAAGAGTATAAGTAGATGAGAAACACTTGAGCCTTTACCTGTGGCTTTGTTTGTGTAGGAATACGAGGTTCTGACTTCACTGCCGGTGCAGCGCTGGAGGCAACCAAGTCTCCGGCCAAGGACTTAAGAGCAGCGTCTGCAGAGGCCTGAGGGGGAGACAGAATACAATCCTATGCTTAAAATCGATAATACTCAACTTGAAATTAATACTATTGCTTTCCGTGATTGGTACCTGTGCAGGAGGAGCTGATGAGCAGACGACAGGAGCCTGGACAGCAGGAGCGGCTGAAGAGCTGAAGTCTCCAGACAAAATATCCAGAGCATCAGCAGTATTTATCTTGGGCTGCAGGAGAAGATAAAGAGAGAAAATAAGCCGTTATTTCAATTACTAAATGTACATATTCTTTATGGCTTTTTATCCATTAATAAATATCTAAATGTTGTTGCTTAGAAATAGATTTGCCCTGGGCTCACCTCAGGTTTGGGGGCAGGCAGTTTTTTGAGATCTTCCTCTTTAAATCTGTAATCTGGAGGAAGTGTATCCTCCCTCTCTCCTACACGCACACCCTTCTCCTTTTTGACTTTGCCCTCCTAAAAAAGGGGAAAAAGGTGAATGACTGGCTGGTCCAGACACTGTTTCTCCTAAATACAGATTTTTTTTAAAGGGTTCTAAACAGGACAAGTGTTTAAAAAAAAACCAAATATGTGCACGGATAATTCAGTTGTACTGGTATACTATTACTGGAATAAAATATAAATATGTCACTCATAACAAAACAACACTATATGTTTTTGGGCACCACATACCGAGACAATATCCTCAGGTCTGAGTTTTGGAGACTCTGGCTTTGGTGCTTCTGTTGGCAGTGTTTCGCTGAGAGCACTGAGAGCATCCAGAGAGATGGAGTCACCCTGAGGGGTGAGAGAAGAGGAACTTCATAGGCCAGTTTTAGACAAGGCATGTTATACAGCTCTGAATGATAAATGAAGAACTAAAGCCAAAAGAAATCAGAAGACTTTTGATTCCTCACAGTTACCTTCTCAATTTTGGGCTTTGTCTGTTGTGCGCTTACATCGACTTTTTTAGGTTGTTCCACGGGACAGACTGTTTTCTGCAGAAAGGCAGAGATGGAAAACAGGAGTGAAAACAAAGACATGAATGTAAAAGGGCACAATGACAGCCATGGTGGCAAAAATAAAAACAAAATAATATTTATTTATTTGCTTGGCAGGGAAATCCTCTATTGAAGGAAAAAACATAGTTTATGCAAAAACCCGCATTCACACCAACAGGTTTACCTCTGGTGGCTTCTTTGATGGAGGAGGGACTGGTGCATGAACTCCAGAAGCCTTAGATGAAGCCACAAACTCTCCAGAGAGTACATCAAGAGCTGACAAATCCTCTACTTTTGCCTGAAAAGCAGAGATAAGAGTTTGAAACAAAGCACTGAAACGATGCAGTTTTATATTTTGTGGAATTTTGTAGGGACTCCAAAAAAAAAGAAAAAAAAGATGGAGGCTTTTCATTTTTAGAGATACGTGCACAGTTTATGTGCAGGAACAAATAACTGATTCACAGTGTACCTGTGTAGGAGGAGCTGAGGAGCAGACGACAGGAGCCTGGACAGCAGGAGCTGATGAAGAACTGAAGTCTCCAGACAAAATGTCCAGAGCATCAGCAGCGTCCATCTTGGGCTGCGGGAGGAGACAAAGTAAAGCTTAAATCAAGTTACTAAATGTTCAAAAGTTGTAGATCTACGAGTTTCATAAGCTTAATGTGCTGAAGTTTAACCCATAAAGTAAATTTCCTTCAGTCTCACCTCGGGTTTTGGAGGTGGCAGTTTTTTGGGGTCTTTATCTTTAAACCTGTAAGCTGGTGGAAGAGTGTCGTCTCGCTCTCCAACACGTACACCCTTCTCCGCCTTCACTTTGCCCTCCTGTACATAGAGAAAGAGAACAAAATCACCTGGTGGGAAAAAAAAAAGTTATCAAAAGCTGTGAATTTAATGCTAGGGTGTAGCTTCACTCTTACAGAGACGATATCTTTAGGTTTGAGTTTGGGGGATTCAGGTTTTGGTGCATCTGCTGGTAATGTGTCGCCCAGAGCACTGAGAGCATCCAGAGACATGGAGCCACCCTGAAAACAGAACAGGATTTATCAAACTATTAAAAATAAAATGTCTGTCTAAAGAATATGAAGTGAAACAAGAACAGGAAGAAGGGCAAAAAAGAAGAAAAATGACTTCAAACATCTTATGTCAAACCTTGTCGGTCTCTGGTTTGGTGTCCTTCCCAGCAGCAGGTTTGTGTTCTTGTGCTTTCTTCTCAGCAGAAGGAGCACCGGGCCCAGCCGCAGGAGGAGCTGCAGCCGATTCCACTTTCTACACCACACAACACAGATGGCAGTAAAGAAAAAGCCCAACTCAAAATAAATCTTGCTATTTCACTCAGTATATAACTTATGCCATGATGTACACTGTTATTTTACAGATCTCTTTAAAAAAAATGATTGTAAGAAGTTCTGCTGTACCTTAGCAGTAGTTGCTGAGAGTCCAGCCTCCACCTTGGCTTTCTTATCAGTGGGAGGAGCGGGAGATTTCTGCAGCAATCACAAAACACCATTAAAACTGGATATTAGATTTTATACAGTGGTGTCACTGATCGAGACAGAGCTTACCTGCACAGGAGCAGCTGAGGAGCAGAGAGGAGCCTGGACAGCAGGAGCTGTTGAAGCAGTACTGAAGTCCCCAGACAAAATGTCCAGAGCATCATTAGCATCCATCTTGGGCTGCAAGGGTCGGGTCGGGCAGATATGACGTAAAGAAAGAGAAAATATTTGACATTCTTCAAGATTCCTGATATTACCCTCATAAAATGTGATGTTATGTGCATACAAAGAAAACAAACCTATAAAATCTGTAACTTTTTAAATATCAGTATCAACACTGGCCTCAAAAATCTATCATCAATGGAGCTCATCGTTAAATGAATTCACTCTGGGCTCACCTCGGGTTTTGGAGGAGGCAGTTTTTTGAGGTCTTCCTCTTTGAACCTGTAATCTGGAGGAAGCGTGTCCTCCCTCTCTCCTACACGTACACCCTTCTCGTTCTTCACTTTTCCCTCCTGTACAAAGTAAAGGGGACAAAGTGAGACATCGTCTAGCAATGAATCTTATGTGTAACTGAACTAAAGTGACTGCAGAGTTGCTGCTTAAGACAGTGCAGCTGTTTGTGCCTCTTACCGATACAATGTCCTGAGGTCTGAGTTTGGGGGGTTCAGGTTTTGGTGCATCTTTTGGTAGTGTGTCACACAGAGCACCGAGAGCATCCAGAGACATGGAGTCACCCTGAAGAGAGAACATGGCGTTTATGACAAGCTAATGACACCCGTGTTGTTTAACCTCATCTCCTGCATCTCACCTCACTGGTCTTGGGCTTGGTGCCTGCTTTGGTATCCAATCCAGCCTTGACAGAGACATCGGGAGTGGTTTTATCCATCTTAGCTTTCTTATCAGCAGGAGCAACCGCAGGAGATACCGCTTTCTACAAGAGCAAACAGACAAATGTTTTAGTTTTCACTGATCCATGCAGAATGACAATGCAACTTTAATCAGGTTTATTTTCAGTGTAGTAAAATTTTGGCTTTAACTTTAACAGCCATAAGAAATTTACTTATTAAAACATTTTAAGACAGAGCTAAGATCTGTAACCATTACAGTAAAAGTACCGTGCTGGAAGAAGAGAGTCCAGCCTCCAGTGAGAAGTCATCTGAGACTTTCTCCATCTTAGCTTTTTTATCAGCTGGAGGAGCCGCCATAGGAGGAACTGCTGCAGGAGTTTCAGCTTTCTGCAACAAAAGGGACAGCAAGGACGAAAAGGCATCAGCCTCTGCAGCCAGACTCTGCTGTAATGACACATCAGGGACTTAAAAATGTCAATTTACCTTCACAGGAGGAGGTGCAAAGTTCGCAGGGCCAGCAGAAGAGGCACTTATAGTCTCAACATGTGCCTTTTGCTATTTATTTTATTGATGGAAAAAAAAAAAAAAAAACACAATGAGACTTTTTAGACCTTTAAGACAAAAATTATATTATTGGAGCCAATGCAGTCTACAGCACATGTGCCATACTAGGAGTGTGCAGCACATACATCAAATGGAAGTAGCAGCTAAGTCCTTCATGCTTAAAGACTGACCTCTTGTTTCTTGGGTCCAGGCTGACCAGTTGATTTAAAATCAGCTGAAAGGGAATCAAGGGCCGCGTCTGTGCTCAGTGGTTTCTGAAATGAAAAATACTGTGCGTTACACCAACCTAAAATAACTCAGTCAGAAAGAATTGCTCCAAAGTTCCACTAGAGGGCATGAGTGACCAAATCAAAAGGCAAAATAATGCAAACCAGACTTGTACCAACAGTGAAGGAAAAGTACAGACACACCCTTTACATTCCACAGACGCCAAAAACTCAAATACTCTCTCTAAAGAGATGCAGGGGACACAAATCGAGTTGACTCCACAAAAATATGACCAACACAAAATTGAAACCATTAAACTCACACAGGAAGAAAGAACAGAAAGACTTGGTGAGACACTGAACCAAAAAAGCTTCTTCGATGCCAGGAGGCCAAAGTGGGAGTCGGCTATGATGCAAATGTGGGTGTGTTAGTGAATGTGAGTAACTATGAACACATTCCTCGGTTTAATTGGTGTATCACTGTGCGCAATGTAAGTGTGCATGTGACAGGGCACATATATTTGTGAGTGTTTGGGTTTGGTCGGACAGGAGCCAACAAGCTCAAACGGAGAAGGTGGTTTCTTAGGACAACACCCAACACATTCTCCACCCAGGAACGGGTAGATTATACAGTGGAAACAGCACTTCCTGCGTGTGTGAGTTATCTGGACTACAAAGAACTGATAGCAGGAGTTTGAAAAGCTTTACTTACCGGGACATCCACAGGTTTAGCATCTGCAGGAGCTCCACCCTAGAAAGTATAAAGTAGTTTTACACTTGGTAAGAAAAATAAAATGGTGAAATCATTTAAGATCTGAAAAGGCCTTCTAATTCTAAGTAATAAATATGCAAGTAGTAATTGTTGATTGGTTTGGTTTGTCTGCTTCTTTTTGTTTAGCAGGATCATTTTTTAATACATTGCTGATGGATTTGCATGAAAATGTTACCAAAAAAGAAATGGAGCTTGGTTTTTCTTTAAAGCAATTACATTTTGGATGTAATTTGGATTTGAGATTTTGGCAAGATTTTATATTGCAAGGTCAAATTGGACATTTCCTGCCATAGTCTCAGGAATAGGAAAAGGCTAAGACATATCCTCTTGATTTTCACATGAAAACCTCAGACTAATCTGGATCAAATATCCTTCCAGATGCAGGAGTCAGCCACTCTTGCTTCATACTAACAAGTTATCAGTCCTAAAGCTTTAATTTGGTGTCAAAGTCATGCCTGTAAAGCAACTTTGTCTAAAGAACATAAGCTAAAAGTGACAGTTTCCTACCAACATAAAGTAGTCCCTACGAATTTGTCAGTGAAGCACGCAAAAGCAAAAAACAAGGTGAGGTTGGGTAGAAAGTTTAGAAAGCAGTGGAAAGTGGTGCACACTGACCGTATTTTTGAATCTGTAGTTTGGAGGCAGTGTGTCGTCCCTTTCTCCACACTTCTGACCTTTCTCAGAGGTGATGTCATGCTGTGACACATGCATTACACGGTTACACACTAAAGGCCCATGCAGCTTGCTGCTCACTTTCTAAAGCATACACACACACACACACACTCCAACATGTATGCTTGCACACTGTGGCTATGCTATACCTCTTTGACCTCTGGCCCCGTGAACACAGGCTCTGGGCGAGCGAACGGATCAGTTGATGGTAGTATGTTGGCCAGCTCGTCGATTGCATCCACTGGAGGTGCCTGCGCATGCAACACAGCTCAGCACACAAGCGCAAGCGACATGCTTTTTAAAGGAAACTAGCACTGCTACATTACGTCTTTACCTGTTGGGCTCCTTTAGCTGCTGTGGATGTAACCTCCGCCTGAACCTGCAACACAGATCCAGAATCAGGCCACAGACCTTAACAATACAATATATCCATTGTGCTATTAGGAGTAAGGCATCATGAAATTATCAGCCATAAAAAAAATAAATCCCAACTCTTTCTTAGTTAATTGCTTTAATGAAATGAATTTTCTTCTTTAGAATTTCCAGAAAAAAAAATGTTTGATGGGTGTGAAAAATTCCTGCTAGCCATGACAACACCTCATCACAACATCCTCATTCATTCATTAAACACAGAGACCGAGAGGATGAATTGAATTGAATGCAAAATCATCACTGTGCAGAGTATACGGAGGGCAGAGTTGACACACAGCCTCTGCCATGTTTGGCTTCAGGAACATCTACCTTTGTTTGCGCTGATTTAGCTTCTTCCTTTTTGCCTTGCACAGACACATTTCCAGCCGCAGCTGTGCCTGCTGCAGCTGGCTTTGATGTTTTAGCAGGATCAACTTTAGGAACATCAGCTTTGACTGCTGTAGCAGCAGTGGCACTCTAAAATGCAACAAGATTTGATTCTATTACAGGCCAAGTTCATGTCAAGTAAAACTGCAGATCTGCTACATACATGCAAAACACCCAAAGAAACAAATGAAAGACAGGAAGTCACTTGAGGAAAAGAAAGCCTCCACCAACTTCATGCCTCTCCTCTTCATTTGTTTTTTCCTCACTGACTCGGAGTGATGATGCATGTGATGTTGCAAATGGACGGGCGTCGACTATGACGAAATGCAACAACGAGCAGAGGCATGCTGAGCAAAGAGCTGCAGTGTAAAGAATGAAAGTCCTTGTTCTTCAAAAAAATAAAAAATAAAAATCCGAAAAGGAATTCCAAGAAACCCCTAAAGCTAATAAGGTATCTGGACAGTCTCAAGTAAGCACAACCCCAAAAAACCTGATAAGACTGCAAGGAAGAAAAAAGAAGAGCGAAAGGCAAGTAGTAGATACACCCCAAGAGTCATGGAGGCAGTGAAGACTCAGAGTGGCATTAGTAGTCAGGCTTATACCTTAGCCGTGTCCTTAGGTGACTCTTTAGGAGCGGCCACAGAAGTGGCTGCTGCAGTGCCAGCAGTGGGAGGAATTGTAGGTGCGACTTTGGCTTGGGAGACAGGTGCAGTCTACAAACATGTCGCCAAATGATTACTCAAAAACACAAGGAAGCCAGTAGATGTACTGACACCGTGTAGATTTTTAAAGTGTTAGTGAAAACGAAGCAGAAGAACATTTACACTGATCACTGGTCAGCTCAGTCACAGTTACCCAAAAGATCTCAAAATAATACGAGGCCTGAGACTGATGACCAGTGATCAGTAAGGGTTCAGATGCTGGAGCTTCTTCATGCCTTAATCACCTTGAACTTTGGGGATTTATTTGCATTCATGAAATATTCAAATACCTCACACACAGTTCACAAAATTTCTAATAAAATAATACAAAAAACATTATCATTTAAAAGATTGTTGGATTAAAGCAAAGAAAAAGCACTAGCTAGAGTTTTGGCCATGATGGCATTACCTTTAACACCTCTCTAGTAGCGCCACTCGCCTCTGCAAACGACATGTCAATAACAGTAGCACCAGCCAGCGTAGTGTTAGTCTACAATCGAGAAGCATGTGTTTAAAGAAAGTGAAAAGAGACAGTTATTCTTTAAGTTAGTGTCACAGTTTGTGAGGAGCATTCATCCCATGCAGGTCATATCAGATCTTTTATGGTGGCACGGTGACAGTCCAGCTTCTGATGCAAGATGAGTGAACGGCCGTGCCAGAAAGACGTCACAGACAGACAGGTAAGATGTTGCGTAACGGTGATGACCAAAGATGAAGCGCGTAAAGAGATGACTAGTGATGAGCACACATGAGGTGCTGAGGCCAAAAGAAAGAAGCAGAGATTCATGTTATGTCACGCCAAAGCGCTGAAAGCCTCCACCACTTTTATTCATACCCGCCAGAGTTTATCTACCTCTGGTTTGGCTTTAGGTGCTGCTTTCCCTGCTGTTGCAACATTAGAGCTTCCTCCTGTTGTCGTGGTAACCGCCCCAGGCTTTGTAGCCATTCCAGATCCCGATGTTGGCGTCTGCAATGCACCAGGTGAGGAGAAGTTGATCAACTGCAATTTTTTACAGCTCTATGGATGCTAGAATTGCCTGTGTGCTTGGCTTTGCACATGAAAGCTAGCTAACTTATCGTCAAGAGAGCCACAGAGACTGTGAAACCTACTGTAATTTATCTTAGCCTGATATCTTAAAATGACATCTTCTTGGTTACGCTTGAGGGTGGGGAGCAATTAGATATGTTGGTGATTGCAACAATACTCAGTTTCATAACGTAGCTCCGCAAATCAGTTGGTAATGTGACTGTGGTTCCATGTTTTATACCTTCTATTGCTTAAAGTTAGGCATCACCAACTGATTTAAGCCAAAAGGACACATCCTCAGCAGAAATACTGATGCGACTGCTAGCAAGCTGGCTAGCAGCATTATCGTTTCACGTGCTGTTGTATTGTTTGGCATTTATGTGTGTTAAACTGTCATGCTCACTGTAGAAGAATGTATTATTATGTGCAATCAGGGACTTAATAAGTTAAAAATGTTCACAAAATGCCATGGCTAGCATGACAATCCCAGTCAAATGTGATTGTCATTTCAGGTAATTGCACAACTTGCAACACTGCTATGCCATTACGTGTACTACAGGGAATTGTGGTAACAAAAGTATCCAAATTGAGATGTAGTAAATCTTTCAGCCTTTTTTGCTTCCATTATAACCTGCTTTTTCTGAAAGTCATTAAACTTGCAGAAAAAGCAACACACAAGTAAGATTCCATATTTGTAAGGTTAATAGGTGAACATTATAGTTGTGTTTTTATGTGACAAGAAACTGGCTAATAGTAATTACCATACATTCTGCAGGGACATATTTTTTATAGCACAGTAGATTATTTTTCCCATTGCACATGGACACTGAAACACAGGCAGTTGTACTTTACTGTGGCAAAGCAAAAAGAAGGAAGCAGGGCAATGAGATATTTACAGTGAAGGTTAATGACTGAGTAATATAAGCTCAGTGTGTGAATAGGTCTAAAATAAAACCATGTAATTCTCTCACTTCTAAATATCCGACTAAACCTTATCTCTACAAGCCGGGCACCAAACTATACACCGTCGAAGCCCCGCTGCTGAAAGATGTGTGAAAACAATTCAGGCTGGCACTATGGCTCTGTTCAAACATTATTTGTATGTAAGTAAAAGAGATAAATGACAGGCAATGGAGTGTACTATTACTTTGAAAAAAAAATAGTTATTAAAAGTGTTTAATGAAGTACACTTTATATAAAATACAGTTATGGTCAGAAGTTTACGTACACTCATCATAAGCATCAATATTGTGGTCATTTAGTTTGATCGGATATGTCACTACTTTGTCATGTTGTGGAAGAAGACCCAAACTGTCACCTCCAGATGAAAGGGAATGGAGCAGGATGTTAAGGAACAACCTGTGAACCAACAGGCTCAAGCCTGCCTTCAGCTGGAAACTGCTGTGACACCAGTGTTATTGTCCACGGTGATGTGAAATTTATGTAGTTGTCATGGACCACCTAAATGCCTTCTGGAGAAAGGTTTTATGGGACAAATGAGACTCTATGAGACAAAGATGAACTATTTGGCCACAAGAGGTATGCTTGGAGTAACTGCTTTCCTAAAATACTATATCTGCTGTTGAGCATGGTCCTGAAGCAACACACTCCAGAGCTGTTATGGTGCCGGTGGTACTCGTACATTGCATGAAGTAATAATAAAGAATTCAACTTAACCTCAAGTCAACAGCTAGAAGATTGACACAATTGTTGTTTGGAATGAATAAGACAAGTTAACATTAAGCTTCTCAAATGGTCTCTCCAAAGCAGCCACCTCATCCCAATTCTTCTTTTTTTTTAAGTCATTAAATATATGTGCTGTGCAATCATGCAAACCTGGAAACCGTTTACCAACAAAATGCTGATGTTTGCAACATTTTTTCTACCAATAGAGTTCATATACATGCTAATATAGTTACATTCCACTTAATTTATGAGTTCCTGATTGAAATACTGATGAAGTCTTTTAACATTTCCATTAGTCTTCCCTGGAGAATATTCCAGTCAGCATTCAAGCAGCAGTTTGACAACCTTGGTTTGCGAGCAGCATTAATGGGTTAAACAGGGTGTTACCTGCCTTGAGTTTGAAGGAAGGAAAAGGAAAATGTTCTTTTTGGTATTAATCAAAGAGCTGTGCTGGAACAGGAAAGAAAGTAACAATGCTAGAACAACAGAAAATGCTGGGGGGTCAGGGGTCAAACTGGCAGTCAACAAATGAGTTTCTTTTGACAGACTGAGGGAGGAGAAGAAGAAGTTAAACAGCATTACAGGGGAATGTCTAATACCTCAAACTGTGCAGGCTTTCCAGTAGAGACCTGAGCTGCCGGTTTGGGTGTTGTCTGGCTGGACTGCGACTGCAGAGAGAAAGAGACAGAAGTCAAATATGTGCAGGGAACACAAGAAACCACCCAGCAACATGTTGATTTCACAACAGCAATATTTTTGGAAAACAAAACATTCCAGAAGACTTATTTCTGGATAAAGCTGAAATCGTAATCGTTACAGGTTCAGGTCAATACAGTCTCCTTTTCAAGTTGAAAACAAACATGGGGAGAAATGCAGGACTGTAAACTGCTCACAAACACACCCATCACACAGCAGTCAGAAGTGTTTGATTCAAGTCCTACATTCCTGACTGTGGGGTGGGACTGTTTGACAGCAGTGCGTCAACGAGACTGTCGTCTGTGGTCACCTTAGAAACTGACAACAAGAATGCAGGATTCACATCTCCAGCCAGTGGCATCCAGTGCAAGCTGAACGCTAACATAGCTCACATTTTTCTGCTTAAGGAACCAGGAGAGATCGGCCTTTGACTCCCGTGGCTGAAGACATGCAGCCAGTATTCACACACATGCATACTGGATGGAAGTCATATTTGTTCTGCACTGCACTTCTTCACATAGAAACAATTAGTCATACTGTATCACTGATGCTTTGATCTTTGTCTTCAATTCCCCATAGCTGAGCTGTAATAAAACAATCTATAGAAGCCGTGTTACAACGCATGGGATATTATTACTTTTTATCATGTGTACTAATCAAAGCAAACTTTCCTGGAATGATAGTTGCAGGACCCATGGTTTATCTGTGGGTGCACGGCAGTAGTTTATCATTTAAAACTGTCATCTGAAATATTGATCAGTTATTAGCCTGTTTTTTTACAGTACTGGAAATCCTTCTGCAAGGTAGAATGTCATAAAGATCATTGTTCTTAATGCATTTGAGAGAAATATACAGGCCTTTAGAAGCAAATAATGTTTCATTTTGTTTTGTTTTTTTAAACTACAAAAATGTACAAGAAGTAAAGCCTTACACTACTACTCAGTTTCCCCCTGTAAAACATGTGACCTTTATCTGGATAAGGATCACACGTCGATGAAAAGGTGTTACTGCAAGCAGAATGCACTGGGATTGGAATCTGACCCGATCAGCCCAGTCACATTTGGAGATGGACTCTGTAAAGCCAACTCTCGGGGTCATCTAAATCGCACTCTTTGCGTCTACTCGCACAGGCTCCAGAAAGCTACAGGTAATATATCAGCACAACCTCGTAACGTAGAGCGGAGACAGTAGCACTGCTCCCCTGGACTGTTTTTCCTGTTTGTGTAGTCATTAAATGTGAGGCTCATCCAGACGCTTTGATTCTACCTGTAATAAGCTTCACAATATTGTGAGGATTGTGAATGCAAATACTCAGTAGATCCCTTAGTATTGCAAAAAAAAAAAAAAAAAAAAGAGTGCTTTTAGTCTAAAATATGCAACCGTGTACAAAAATAAACTCTTTTGTTAACAATTATACATGTTGCGCACGTAGTCCAGTATTTTGGAAGCATATACTGATCTCCAGGTGGAGCACAGTTTGCTGCAGAGCCCAGCCCAGCTCTTTTGAAGGTGTTGTGAATACAGAGCAGTGAACCTCCACCCTGTTTAATACTGCTGTCCGTTTCACATTCAGCCCCATATATTGTATGCAGTTGTATCATTGTAGACTCAGACCCAGCCCAGCCTGTCGGCGAGCATTACTGGGTTTTTTTCCATTTGTTCATAATAATAATAATAATAATAATGATCATAATAAAAGAATAAGAGAAGTGTACAGAAGTATCCATAACAGATTAACAGATACAATTCTGTGGGGAAACCCCCCAACTATATCTTCCAGTTATGCTACTTCTAATCACACGTAAGCTTCTGAGCGAGCTAACCAGCTATGCGTCCTCTTTTACAGCTACACAGGTAGGATGGAGGTAAAGCACATACGTATGCTTGTGAATGACAGTCAAGGTAAATAACATACAGAGACAGAGGACATGTGAATCATCTGCATTAGGTGAACTCTGAGTTAGTAATGATTGCAACTTGGCATAATCAATGATTTCCTCACGCGCTCAAATAGTCACACGGGCTCACAAAGTCATAATCCAGGTCGGGATTAGCACACACAAGTCACATGCCTTCTGCCTTCACACTTTTCAAATATGAACCGACAACGTTAAGAGTCAACTTCATATTATTTAGATCGAGAATAAAAAGGAAGTGGCACAGAGGAGGAAGTGAGGTCACAAGCAGCCAAGGGGAAGTTGTGTTGATCCCGTTACCACTGTAAATACTGAACGTTGCCAAGTTACTTAAATAACCAAGAAACAGATGAGCTGTACTGCATGATGTGTCAGGCGCATTTTGCTGCATGTGAGACAACAACTCCACAAGCTTGGATTTTCATGACAAAATGATAAAAGTAGCATTGGATATTTGAAGCCTTGTATTCTCATGGCAGTGATCTGTTCTGGAAGCAGAATTTGCAAACATCTATAGAGCACAAGAGATTGCTGAAAACTTCGAGAACTAATAGACACACTCAAGCCATTCTAGTGGTGCTAGCTTTTATTTCGTTTTTTTAATGTGCCTGCAGTGTTTGATTCAACACAGGAATAATTTAAAGAAACAGTGAAAAGCACCTCTAATTCCATTTGATTAAAGATGTTTAGGCAATCACAGTATTGACTTCCCCCTTCTTATCTACAAAAGGTATTTTGATGTGTCATCAGAGTAATCATACTGACCACATGAATGACATCATTACTTCATCAAAACTTTCTTTTGCAGAAGCGTACATTATGGCAAACCCTATAACAGATTTGTGAGTTACAACAAAGTGTAACACTGTACGGATCAGAACAAATGACATATTTCCATATCACTGTATAAATTAGAATCATGTTCATGCGCTTTTGCATTTACCTCATGAGGGATTCTCTGTTGAAACTATTCTTCAAAACCACAGCAAACAGGTGACTCATCACCACTGCAGAACTCCGACAACACCGACAGATGCCACTTGACAAAGGCCAGGAAGCACGACCCGCTTTTATAATTGTACAGTAGGCAAACAGACAGAGCTCTTAGTTCATTTCCAATCGATTAAAAGAAGCAATACACTGAAACATTAAGTAGTAAATAGTTGAGCTCATCAGTATGTTTACAGTGTCAATATCAGACGATCTTGAAAACATTTATTAAAGAGATAAAAAGAAATATCCTCTTAAAGGAAGCCAACACTGGAAGATGCTACAAAAGAAAGAAAGGATTTCTATTGTAAAATAAAAGTGAACAAAGATGACGAGGGCAGAAAGCTGCACTACGGTTAGGAATCAGAAAGGTTAAAAAAAAAAAATCATCAACTTTAACTCAAATAAAATAAAACCTGAAGCATGAAACATTTTGTGGATTAGTCCTACTCACTGATTTAGGTAAATTAAAAACAAATGTTTGTGTGTAACCTCTGTGTTCACCTGAGACCAACCCAAACTCTCAGGAAGTCTGTAGTGACTCCAGACTTCTGCATTCCTACATTCCTCATGACTACGGCAGCAGCAGACGCACACTGCAAGTACACGTACACGCATTAGGTACTGGGTTAAACCCACTTTCGACTTTAAAACTGCCCTAATTTTTCACGCCATTGACTCAAAGAGCTGGAGTTTTTCCCTTTTAAATTTTGATGCATATTGACATGATAGAATCAATATTGTTTCAGAACCTCTTGACAAAGAAAACCCAAGTGTGTTCACTCACATTCGACAACGAGTGGGGGGAAAGGACCACTTTCTTGGTTAACACAAACCACAACGCACCACAGAAAGAAAGGAAGTAGCAACAAGTCTTCCCACAGAGCAGACACATTTGGACCAAACATAGTACACACAGTTGTTTTCTACAGACCAGGTGTTGCATAAATTTCATGAGCCGTGCTTGACGTGGTTTATAGCAGGTGCTGAGTCTTCCAGATGTGCTCGGTATTTGGTCGACCTGTGGCTCATTTGAAGCTGCCTTATGGTGCCATGAGGTCAGGCAGTGTCAAATGTGGCCCAAACACGATTGCAGATGCTGGCCACATTTTTTCTGGGTTATAGTTTCAGAATCATTTTTTGGGAGGAATTTACTCATTTTACCAAACAACCGGAAGAGGCCTAACATCCACTCTTAGGAAATCTCTGCCGTCTTGATAAAGTATTTATTGTATTGATCTGAGTACATATTGGACTGTGTGAAAGTAAAGTGAAGTTGATGGAGGTGAGTTATAAGCTGTATACGTGGAGCATACTGCACAGCAAAACTTAAAAGGTCCAAATGATCAATAGTACCTTTATCAGAAGATGCACTCAATAGTAGAACTGACAGTATGCAAGATGTCACTTGCCATTCTGTCCAGCCTTAAGTTTTGGCTCATTCTTTATACACACAACATGTATACAAGTTTGATAAAAAAGCCAATAGAACAGAAATAACCTTTGCACGCATCATATATGAAAACTGTGCAGATAATACAAACTTTATGAGACCTTCTTTGGTTGAACCTGTGACAGTGAACTAACTTCTGCAGCTTGTGATGTTGTCTTCTTAAACAGCACTCTGTGTTTCTGTTATGCAGCACAGAAATGCACAAGACAGTAAAAGAAGGGGGGGGGGGGGGGGTGTCATAGAAATGATGCAGGGTTCCAAATTTAGTCGAAGCGTGGAAAAGACTCAATAGTTAGCATGGATCTGCTTTGCAAAGGACATATTGATTTTGTCAGACACATACAGTACATACAGTAGACTGGGATTCGGTGCAGTTGTAGTCTGAAACACAACAGCGCATATAAAGATCGTGATATGTGGGCATATGTTGTTGAATCTTTTATTCCATGTAAGACACATGACGTATGCAAACAGTGACATGCCGTGCATGTCCATAGATAGAGCCACTGGGTAAGCAGCGAGGACACTGCCTGACGTAGTTGATAACGGGACACCAGTAACATCATGGTCATTCTGAGAGAGCTAGACGCAGTGCTGGGCATAGTTTAAGTGAGTGTGTCCAAAATAGATGCAGCACTTTAGATCCACACCATTTCTGTCACATGACTTGGGCCAGCAGTGACAGTGTGGCAAGGGCGGCGCACTGCCATCTGAAACCAACAGGTTTTGGTAGTCTTTCAATTTAGCACGACAGGAAACTGCCTGTCAGCTTGAGGTTTATTGCTCAAGTCTTTGTCTGCTGTCAGATATGAATGATAGAAAAACACACGCAGGCATGAAACGCCAAGACTGCACTCCATATTGTGCATTTATCACTGGTCAAGGAACAATGCAGTACATATATCCAGGCCCTACCAAACAACAGGGACTGAAGCAGTAGCTTTGCCCTCTTATGAAAACTGATGACTAATGCTGGCCCCACCCAACACACCACAGACACGCATATGTGAAAATGGCTGGAAACGACTCCTCAGCTTTCTGTTTTAAAATAGCACTGGCAACTTGTGGAAAAAAGGTCAATAGTGATAAGTGGCTCACGTCTGACCAGTGGTGGAAATGACGAAAGCCGCAGTCAGCTGCGTAACAAGGAAAGAAAGTGGAGCAATAGTGTGAAAGTTAAGCGTTTCAGTTTTAGCACAGAGCTGCAGCAGGAGGAGCATTATTGCTGGAGGGCAGATTTCAAGAGAGCTGGGTGAAATCAGGAGTAATGGCGTTGACTAAACGTACTTTAAAAGGCAACCTGTTCTGATGAGGTGGTGACGCATTTAACTGTCACATCAGGCGAGGACAAGAAACAGGACAACCATGGCAAAATTACAACTGCAGCCAAACAAAAATCCTAATCATACAAGACAAACAAACCAACCCTTGTGCTTCAGTGTTTGTACTGCATTTTCCCATCAGGATTATTGTATCACACGTTTACAGTGAGAAAACCCAGTATGGAGAGCACAAAAAGATGATATAAAGCCATAAAGAGCCAGGTGTCAACCTTGAATGCCACATACATAAATAGTAATGAAACATTGGATTGCTGGTCGTTCACGTTTACTTGGAACAAAGTTTTTGTTACACTAGCAACAACTGCTCTCAAGGCCCATTTGAGAGAGACTAACACAAAAATCTTTAGTCCTTTAGTTCCATAATTTGAGGCTTAAGGGGAAGCACGCTGATCTTACCACAACGTGAAGGATCACATGAGCGATAAACTGTCAAATGCTGATCTGAACCAACGTTCTGCTACACACCAGCCACCAAAGTGATGTGACAGGTATCAAACAGGAAGCTTCTCCACGCAAGCATTTACAAAAGAGCAAGCATAAAGGGAAATACCATCCAGATACATACCATAGGTCAGACTGTGAGTGTGTATCCTCTTTAAATGTTGCTGTGAATACTACCAAGAGGCTCTCTTCAGGCTGCTTAACCTAAGACCCCTGCTTTAGGAACACTTTAGTTCGAACTTTATGTCATGCACACGCACACATGTAAACACATACACACACCCAGCAGTGAAAAACTTGCTACTCCGCCCTCTTTGAATCAGCACAACAAGACGCCGCTGCATCAGGCTCCACCCCTTCATCCAACATGGCAGAGCAGGCTCGGTCGGATTGGGCAGTTGAACACATGAAGCCCCACCCACTGCTCGATGGGTGCCAGGAAAACTGAACAAGCTTTGGGTCGGGCTGGGCTAGGTGAAGACGCATGATGCAGCTCAGCACGCGATAGCCTGCATCAAGCCGGAAGAGGTGAAGAAGAGAGAAAGAGTTGAGGGGTGACGAAGGAAAGTAGATTTTCTGCAGCAGTGCTTTGGCAGGAGTCTGGGTGTGTCGGGTAGACTCACAACTTTGGAATCTAGAATGCAAAGCTACAACAAAGGCAGAAAAGAGGAGAGGGAGGGAGGAGGATCCATCACATGCAGCTCAAACCACACCCTAAGGCAGACAGAGAGGAACATTAAAATGGGGGAGAACGACAAAGTTTAAAGGGCAAGAGCAGTGATGTTCAGACATGTTTGTTTCCATCACAGGTCGTCAAAAAAGGCCCCGAACAACGGAACAGACAGGAAATACCAGCCAGAGGTTACACAGGAATTTGGGGGGGGACAAGAGAGGGGCATTTAACGCTTCCCCTTTCTTTAAACAGGACCTTTCAGCAGTGGCAGCGTTGATTGGCTGAAAGGTCAATAACTTCTAAACTTTATCCTTATTATGTTAACTTCTTCAAGCACTCCACACCGAAAAACATGTCAAACGCGTTAAGAGGCGAGTGCTCTGGAGAGCAGCGCCCCCTCGTGTCACAAAACACCAAAAGCACACAGATGAAACTTAAAAAGGAGCATTGTGTTCATGTGTGTCATCTGAAACCGTTGTGCATGCCTGTTAACTTGCAGACTGTTGTTTGGACACAATGTCGGCCTGTATGCGTGTCGTGTTTGTTCAGTCCCAGTACTTTAATGCTGTGGTTAAAATGGGAACTCAAACAGCTCTAAATACTTTGCATTTAGACTTGGCATCAAAGTTAATGTTATTATAGATGTGCTAGAAAAGGATTATAGGAAATATTCTATGTGGAAGCTGCTTTGACACAAGCTTCAACAGACTTGGTTAAATATCAGCCAAAGCCAGCTGACAATCAAGCACCAGGATAATCAGCTCGAATGAAGATAAACAGCAGAGCGTAAGCATGATCATGACATATCGCTGTATTCTTCGAGAGCTATAGTCTGGCTTTTATCGGCTTAGCTTCAACCATGTTTCTTTTAAAATGTCTTTATAAGAACAAGCAGACAGACTCCTGATGTCTCCTGCCCTGGCAGAAATTCTTGTGTCTGTCCTGGGACCCTTCAAAATAAATCACTTAACAGCTTTCGCCTGACTGACTCCAAAAACACACCAGAGCCTGCCCCCTTTTCTGAAAGAAAACATGCTCATGTTGAATCCAAATGCCTTAGTTTGCAACCCCTGGTAACAGCTGTCTTTATTGACAACATTAGACACACCCTTTCATGGAGATCAACCAATAGAAATGGTAAACCTAGAAGCTGGAGGTTTCTAGTATAAAAGGTGGGCTCTGTTCAAGAAGTTTACAGGCAAACTTGGTGGGAGGCTGCATGGTATCACATGTCTTAAACTAAGACTTTAAGCAAAGACTAATGTGGGATATTTACATTGGCAAAAGTTTGGAGTCAAATCAATTGGAACTCTGCAGAGAGATTAGACTAGTAGAAACGCGTTTTGCCAGAAAGTTCTAGCTGTTATGAAAGAGCGTGTGAATCAGGTCTGATTAGGAGCAGGAGCAGCCATACACAATCTGTGCGCTCAGTTTGAACCAGATACAAGGAAGCACTTAAAAGTGCAAATGGAAACCAGTGAGTGTTGTGCTGACTGTGCACAAACAGCCAGAAAAAAAATGCAGAGGAGTGGCCTGAGGAACCTGACAAACCCTAATCGTATATTTTTTAAATAAACACAGTGAAGTCAAATCAAAAGGATGCATTTGCTTTTGTTGAGATTAACCTAACCAAACACAACAGTTTTGCATCCCCTTTTAGCTCATTGTTTTGGCAGCAGTGTTTTCAGGAGCAACAGCCTGCAAGTTTGACCAAGGTAAATCTGAGAAACACACTTTGCTCCCAGCCAGAAGCATGACAAGTGGTCAATGCTAGCAACCAGTGGTTACTGCTTAAATAGCACACTTCTACTCGGAGCACACAAATCATTTTACTACAAGCTTCATACCACAGCACCTTGTCTAACATTTACACACACACACACTCGCACACATAACTTGGGATTTAGTGTCTTGTCCAAAGATACTTCAACATGCAGACTAGAGCAGCATTCACCGGACTTCCAGTTGTAAAGCGAGCCACACTTACTGTGAAACATTTCAGTTACAGAGACATCAATAGGGACAGTTTAAAAAAAGTGAAGCAAAAAAGCTTCAGGGAAAACATTACATCTGCTCAAAGTTGCTTTATTTCTAGGAAAAGTAGAGAAATATTTGTAATAATATTTTTTAAAAATAATATGTTAGCTTGTTGTGACTGCCAACAAACCACAGATTATTAGGTACAGGAAGTGTGCTAAATCAAGTGTCCAGATTGAGGCTATTTTAGCGAGCTGAGCTTCAGTTTCAGACTTGTATCATCTTCAGCACAGGTTTGTTTGCTTCAGCTAAAATTACTTCTGCATTAGCTTATTAGGTTCTACCATGAATTTAAACTTGTGTGTTAGCCATGCAATGATGCTATACTATACTATAACTAGATTTTCAGACAGATTAGCCAGATACAAATAGAAATATCATCACCACAAAAACTACTAAGCTATAAATGTCTCTTGCTTAGCTGCATTTCCACATTATGTCATCAATCTATCCAGCCATCCACTTCAGGGTCATGGAGGGCTAGAGCCTATCCAGAGGAAACAGCTCGACTCTGTCAGCCACATGACAGAATAAGAACAAGAACTACAATAACACGATTTAGTTGGGACTTGTCAGCAATTACCAATAATCATAGCATGCCTGCTAACATTTTTACCTCTCCTGCGTGTTTATGAGGAGCGATACTGAGAATCTCAATCATTGCATCACATTACAGTTTCCAGCAATCGTGAGTCTGCTGCCTTCACATTACTTATCCGGACAAATGTCATCTGGCTCCAAGTACAGGCTGTTGCTCGAGCATTGCAGTAAACAGACAGGAGGACGGGTATACCAAAACGGACATAACAAAATTCAGCGAGCAACATTTAGATGAGGTGTCAAGCCAAACTGAGAGCACAGTGTCAAATCTGAAGGCACGAGTTTTGAGGAGTGATGGAAAGTAGCACCGTACCTACCAACGGGATAAACAACAACAAACTCAACAGGAAATGGAAGGCTGATTTAGCTGAGCAGGATATGTGTCAACAAAGTTTCTGTGTATATATGGTCTCATACACAGTGTGTTCCTCCACTCCAGTGCAAACTGGGCTTTAGTACCGTGGTCTGATTCTCTCCTGCATTCAGCATGTTTAAAATGATCTTTTTGAGGTGTGGCTTCAGAAGGCAGTCAGAGGTGGTTATGACGTATGAACTGAAGCAATCGGGCACTGTGTGTCATGATGTCATTAGTAACCACCTTAGTTGAACTGTTTGTGATTTGCTGAATATTAAAACATGAAAGATGGAAATTTGAGTGTCAGCATTTTCTGACAGTGGGGGCAGATAGGTGCACGCTTGACATCAGACTGTGATTTAATAACATGAGTCAGTTGTGTCTCACTGTCTCAGTGATTGCTCAATACTTTGTATTCTGGTTGCACACAGTGCTATAGTCCTTCATAACTGAACCGTACAGTGTAACTCACTGTTCAAATACCCAACTGTAAAACCGAGGGGATCATTTCACATGACTACATCGAACTTAAAGATGAAAAATACATACGCAGGCTGAGACGTCTCAAGAGGATAAAAGTCAAAAACCTAGAATAATATGAATAATACAACAGTAACACAGGTAACTTCAGGCAACAGGAAACAGCATGATATTGTATTTAAAGGTGCCTTATAGCGGTTCTATGAAGTGACACTTTTCATTGGGTCTTAGTTTTGTTTATCAAGCACTAGTAGCCACATGCATGATTCATTACACAGCGTTCCTACCAGCAGGGTTAGATTTTCCAACTAATAATATGTCTCAGAAAAAGAGTTCCCAGTTCTTTTTTTTAAATAGGTAATTCATCATCGACATTCCTTATTTAAAAATAAAGAATGTGTATGATAACGGTTGTTTGTAGATCAAACTTTTTCTTTGACAAAGCAGATACAAGCTTGACAGAAATCTCTTTTTAGCTCTGTTTTTCATTTCCAACACTATTGTCTCTTTATCTTTTTCCATCTACTGAGAGCAGGTATGAAGCAGGTATTTATAGCATGTTCGGCTACACGTTGCAGCCAAGGACAACAAGACAAAGCTCTGTGAGCGTGAACCAGAACAGTACAGCAGTGAGCCGAGTGACTAAACAATGGACTGAAACTGGCTTTTAAGATCTGTGAAGCCATCAGTTTCTGTTTAGTTTAATTTAAAGATATAAGTTCACGCTATAGTTGTAAAGCCCTCTAATGTACCACACCATGTAAAAACAGGTATGTCATGAGTAACTTGCACAGTATCCCCTCCTGCCTGTTTATGACTTTTTGTCTTTGACTTTGTTGTAATGGTTATGCATGTGCAGGCAAGATATATTTTCCCAGTGGCCATTTCCTGTTACGTTTCATGATAATGCTGCCAGACCCCAAGGGAGGGTGATCTCTGCAGCCCAGAGCTGGGAAAATGTAACACAACAAAAATGGTCTGACCAGAAGTCCAAAGGCTATCTGTGTGCAGTCGGCCTCCTGGGACACATTTATTCTTTGACCTTTAACACATAAAATGACTCAGAGCAAACAAACACAGCCCTGATAACAGAGCACTGACATGAGGACAGCCAATGCTGAACTGTCACACATCAGCATGCAATCACATTCTCTGCCAGACGAGTGAAAATTTAACAAAAGCCTGCAGCATATGACCTACATTGCATTCAACTTTAACTTGTCCAAATAAAAAACAGAGCACTTAAGCTCATTCCAGCTAAACACACCCTTTCAGACAGCTCCATCTGCAGCTTTGGATTATCACAGGAGAATGCTATTTGGGGTGGGAGCCTTCACAAAGAAAAAACTGGTATATCCTTCAAAACAACCATTATCACTTATAGGAGTCTATCAGTTTCCCATGTAGTTTGATGGCTTAAGCACCTCATAGCAAATACTGGAGGCCTTCCTGCAGCCTTGGTTTAATATCCCACTACAGTAAGAACACTGAACTCACAGAGGCTGACCGGGAGCCTCAGACATTCCAGCAGAGAGAGAGTGTGGCTGGATTTGGACTGGCTCCAAGACAGTTTTCCTCCTTGTGTGAGTTTCCCTTATAAGTCCTTTGTTAAACATACAGTACACAAAAGACTAGGACAGCTAACAAAACAGTAACAGCAGATATGCTTTTATATCTATAGAGATGGGGGTCACAAACAAAACAAAACACACGTGGACACTTTTGTTACTCAGCACAAACCATTACACAAGCACACAGACACACTTTTACTACACACCTGCTCCTCCACTGCCACATCCTGCAGAGCCGGGGTGTCCCGTGGGCCTCGGATCCAGCTCAGTATCTGACCCATGTTGGCTGAACGTGTCGTTTGTGTGAGTGTGTGTGTGCGCGCGTGTGTCAGCCTCTGCCTTGTCTGTCGGCTTGCAGCATGTTTCCCTGCATCAAACAGGGAATGGACCCAGACAGAGAAAAGGGGAGGGCAGAAGGACTAAACTGGGCGTAGTCAGGGAGAAGAGGATCTGATGTGGAAGTCACAACCGGGAGGGGCGTAACTCTCCGGGCTATACTAGGAAGTGAGCTGACCATGGGCTGACACCCACTTAAAAGGGGGGCAACATGTGAGCTTCTGCTTGGGGAAATAGATCCAGCTTTAACGCACACGGTGGCACACATGCACGAAGATATGCACGCAGTGGTGTTAAAAAATTTACTCAGCATACCTAAAACAGAACCGGTTTTATTTGGGACAATGTTCAAGTTACACATTAGCAAGAACACATCTAGATATACGATAGTGCACGAGCCTTGAGCACACATGAGCGCATACGTCTATCCACACTGCATATATAAAACAAGAGACCAACTTTTATATTCTGCCTGTGTCAGCTATTTTCCATGACAGAAGAGGCCGAAGCTGAAATCTTCAATTCTTTTCTGTATTGCAGTAATAAAATCTGCGAAGGATAATAGCAGGAAGAGATACTGATTAGATGCAGGCTAATCTCAACATCTAGTTGAGCCAAAGAAAACCTGTCTAATGACAACAGAGGAGATTTCATCATGTCTCTCTGCACCACGGCCTGAGCAACAAACAAGGTGTGTTAAAGAGGAATGTAGGGAGTGTCTCTGTGAACACATGACTGAAGCATGAAACACGGGTGTTGGGCTTCTGAAACTTCACCAGTGTGGTCCCTTTTTTCAACTTTATTAATAAGAATTATCCCAGAAGAACTGTGGAAAACATGAAAAGTAAACTGAGAAACATCGGAAGGCAATTAAGTTGCAAAGGTGATGAAAACCAATGAAAGTGCAATCCCATCCATACCTATGGGGCTGTACCTCACCTGTAAAGTGTGAGTTTATCTGTCTCTCTGAGTAGTTCTTGGGTGGGGTGTGCAAACAGTGCAGCCCCTGAGTGAATCACTGTGATGGAATCAGTTTGACAGGCAAGCCTTTCACTTTTTGAGCGTTTTAACGGCACACCTTGGAAAAATATGACAATCACGCACCCTACCACTAATCACTTTAAATCAAACAGACAGAAACTGACACTCCTATTTGATCTGCAAAAAGCTACAAGTGGTGAATCGGCCCTTTATGCACAAAGCACACTTTGAGGATAATCCACTTGTTTTCAACAATGCAATGCGATACTGATGATAACACTCTCGCCTGAGAAACCCCATCACCTCTTTGTTTTTTTAAAAAGGACATAACATTGTAAATGCATACCATCCGTCTGACACTATTAAAAACAGATTAAATCAACAAACACTATGAGCTAGAGACCATCTGTACCTGTGAATATTTATATTATTGTACCTAATATATTATTGGGAAAGTACTCAGGGAGATATGAGGTGTCTCCAGGATCATATTGTGCAATGATGGTGCATGCACAGAGACACACAGGCTGTCCATAACTCATTACACACTCCCTCTGAGACTGACATATCTCTTTCAAAGTGTCAACTGATCAAACCTGCAAAACTAGCTCATCGGCCATGTGAAGCAAACTATCCGTTCCCATAATCTCACAAAAACTGGTGTGAACCTGCAGCGGTTGTGGGGCATGTGGTAGTCTTTTTAAAAAAAAAACTCTTTTTCACCTAGACTGAGGTTATCAGAGAATCAGCAGATAGCAGTATGCTCAACATATTTAACTGTGTCAGAAAACAAAATAGCAGATGTTGTCACCAACGTGCTGGTGTAAGAGAGCATAAAGTGGGTAACTGGACTCCCTGTGACCAAAGTGGCATTCATCTTTATATTTAGATCCACGCTGCACTTCAGTCACCTATAAGCTCCTCCTGTCGAGCTGCATCAAATGTATGGACCATGATCAGATGTCGACAGAAGCCTGTATTTTGTTTTTCTTTTCTTTTTTAGAAAACAAGAATAACAGAATTTATATTGTGCTGCAGCTAAAGATACTTAAAAGTTATTACAGGTAAAAGTGATCCTTGATAAATGGCTTCACGCGTGATTCCTAAAGTTGTCAGTCACAGTAAATTACTCTTAACAATCACAAACATGTACATTCTTTTTTTTATTTAAGTAGCAGGTTAAATAAGCGTGCAGGCTCAATGTGTCTCCTGATTTTTGGGTAACAAAAAAGACATGCAGTCCTTAAACATCTGCAGCCAAAAGCAGCACTGCCCTCAGCAGAGGGAGACAAACACAAAGAGTTGAGTTTTGTTCCCATCTATCCTGCAACTCCAACTCTTGACCCACAAAGAAAAACAAAGATAAGATAGATGTGAAATATTCAAAATGTCTGGAAAGACCACAGTCTAATTTTCAGGCTCTGATAGCAACTGCAGCTGAAAATTCAAACTGTAAATATTGTCACCTACTTGTTTGCATCTACATTAACAGGCCAGTGGGTTCAGCGGTGATTCTTTTTTACAGCTACACTTCTACTTGTATCCACTCTCAGTTACTGGGCAGTATTGAGAGACAAAAATCACACAACAGCCCCTATCTTTTAATGCATCCTGTGAGGTTTACATGGAGCAAAGTAGCTGACTGCATCCCCGCCCTGTTTTAACCTTGAGCTGCAGAACATTGCTGAAGGCATTGTGTCATTCAGGAGAAAATGAAGTCAGTACCTTGCCATAGTAGGACCCTGCAGTGGGATAGAAGGCTGAAGTCTGTCTACTCTTTTTGACTTCAGCTGTGCAAGGATCTGCTTTTCCATGCTACAAACACACACACACACACACACAACAGTTTGTTAGGGCTTTTAGGGTGAGTCAGTTGTTGGCATTAAATTAAACACAACTTCTGGACAGGAAGCAGTGATTTCAGTCTATTGTGTTACTGTGTTGGTGCCTTATTTTCTAGCTTTTCCTCTTTTTCTTTTTTTTTGTAACATTTTTGTAATATTCTTAACTGTGAAAAAGGTCTGCTCAAATAGATTTTCATAGTTTGTAGCATTAAGGTATGTAAGCAAGATAACACCAGCTCATTAATTGCATTGGTTAACATGCTAAAATGTTCATTATTGATATGCAACAGTACCGAGACACAATAACTGGAGATAATCCAGATGTGAAACGTGAGGGCTGAAGGCCGTTTAAACAGCCACACGCCCTCATGTATGAATAGTGTTTGACAAAAAGTGGGCGAAGTCTTTTCAGCACTTTATTTCGGTTCTAACAATATCTTGTACAGCCCACAGAGCATCCAGAACCGCTCCTACACTTTCAGACTAGCTGTTCGGGTTTTCTGCAATAAAAGCACACCTGGCGTCTAAAAGGGTGCCAAGATTTACTTTGAAAGTGCTAATGCCAGAGGCTCAAATAAAAGAAAGAGGGAGAAGAAGGTGAAGGGGAAAAAAGAGGGCGATGTACTCACAGTACTGCTCCAGTATGCCGCATACGCCATGAGAGAGCAGGAGGTGAAAACAACTGTCCGAAATAAAACTTCCACTCTGCTACAATGCCGCTCTCTCCTGTCTTCACTGACAGATATCTTTTCTCATACCTTGCCGAACAGAGCGCCACTCCCAGCAGACACCAAATTATCGCCACACACTTCTGTCCGGGGTGCAATTTCTGACTCAGAGAGATTACAAAAGAATTTCACTCTCTAATTTTTTTTCCAGTGAAATTTTCTGGTTCGCATAAACAAAAACAATCCAGCATTAACCTGTAGGCCTGGCATTAAACCACCCCACTGACTCACATCACCACACACACACACGGTTATATTTCCAAAGAAGGAACTTCGTAGATCTCTATTGTGCTTGTTTCTGGCTCAGTGGTGCGCGCTACCAGGGGGGGCTTTACGCAATAGCCCATAGTTACAAAAGATGACATGAAAGCCTTATAGGCATTTGGCACTGGCAAATCATTCGCGACGCCGAGAAAAACCAATTACTGACATTATAAATAAATCAACGAGCCCTGAGCAATTCCTCTGCAAACGATGACACAGCCGCGCTCTAACATGTGCAGAACAGTTTCTCGCTTGAGCACATATATGGCAATGGGATGCAGTTTATCAGGTTAACTCAGTATCAACACTTCTGCAGCTTTGTCTAAGAATAATCAGCTGTGATATATCGGAGATGTTTACATCTTTAAACACATTAACTGAATTCCGCATGTCTCTAAAAAACGGAAAAATCCTACCTCGTCCTTTGCTTCCTTTGTAGCTTTATGATGGCCATGGCTTCTCTTCTTATGTGGCATCTTCAAAAATCTAAATGGATGAACTTCTATTCAAAGTTTCGTTAGTGCCCTCAGTTCTCTTTGGGAAATCAAACTCTACAGACTGACACACAGCCTTTGGTTTTAATTAGGCTGCCCCTCCCGCTGAAAGAGCTTTCGTCCTTGATGATTAAAGTAGTTGGCAAAACCAGAACATTTCTCAACGTGGAGTTTATTTAATCGCGTAAGCATGTAAGGTCTCGTTGGTCTGCTGCTTTTTAGGATTTATAGTGCAGACTGGTCCAGAAACTAAGCCAAAAGTTACCCAAGTACACACAAAACTCTAATTTGATCACGTGAATGGGAAAACTCAGTGTTCAGCGGAAATAACTGGGATCGGTTGGCATTCACAAATGTATTCTTTTGCATTTTAAACAAGTATCCAACACATTCGCTTCAGTTTGGGTGTGTGAGAGGAAACGCCCCACAGCTCCAGGAAGAGTTGACTCACCCCTGGTTATTTTTCCCTTCCCAGCAAGATGTTTTTCTTGACACAATGCTGCCCTCTGCTGGCTAAACCGAGTACAGTCTG